AATTGATTGGCGTTAGTTTGAAATTAATTGGAATTAAATTGGTAGAGTTGTGACTGTTTAAAGTATATATAAATTGGGTGGCTGGGTTAAAAGTGAGGTGGCCGGTCTGTGGGGGTGGCCAGTCTTTGGGTGACGGACGTTATAAATTAAATAAAAACTCAATCAATTTGTTTGCCTGGATGTTTATTGCCGGTTTGCTTGCCGCGTGTCAACCCTTTGACACATCCAGTGATTGTCCGGGTCTTCAAGGACAGATATGTACAGTAGGGGATACATAGCTTATGCATCTACCTATTCCCCGTCTCGTTTCTTTTGGGTGACGAATCTGATACAAGTGTCGCACTGATCGATCTGACATTTTTGTTTGTCAGTTGTTTTGAGTTACAGAGCGTTACACGTTTCCGTCATGATTCAACTGCCGGGGTGACACTGAAGGGTCCTGGAGGGAAATCGTTTCAGGGCTTGCTTGATTGATTGGCAGGCCCGGGGACGGAGCCGGCACAGCTGGGGCCCCCGCATCGGCGTGAGCTTCCGATCGGCTTTGATCAGCGACCGGCACATCCTTGATTGCAGATAAATAGCATCATTTTCAGTACTTGACCATGAATGAATATCAGTAATTAACAAAATAACCAAGTAATAATCTGCCCAAAATGTCATTCTGGATCGAGACAGAAGACTGGCACACTGCCGGCGAACCTTTCCGCATCGTCCAGACCCTCCCGTCAGGCCATCTACCCGATGGCGAAACTGTCGCTCAACGTCGCCTCACTGTTATTAACACTTCCAATCACCCTCTTGATCAACTCCGACAATCTCTATGCCATGAACCACGTGGCCATGCAGATATGTACGGTGGTTTTATTACGCCGCCGAATGATCCCGGTGCTCATTTCGGCGTCTTATTCTGGCACAAAGATGGCTTTTCAACGGCATGTGGGCATGGGACCATAGCTTTGGGGTATTGGGCTGTCACAAAGGGTCTTGTTAATGCGCCTGAAAATGGGAGTGTTGATGTCGTTATTGACGTTCCTTCTGGGAGAGTTACCGCGGAGATTGCTGTGAAGGACGGCAAGCCGGTTCATGGCGACTTTATCAACGTCAAGAGCTACCAGATTGCCAAGGACTTATCTGTCAATCTTCCATCACGGGGTGTTGATGTCAAGGTCAATCTCTCATTCGGCGGAGCTGTCTACGCTACCATCGACGCTGCTCAGCTGGGCCTCAAGGTTGAACCAAGCCAGTACATCAACTTCATCAATATTGGGCGCGAGATCAAAGCTTCTCTAGGCACAAGAGCACACTACGACACATACGATCTATACGGCGTCATATTTTTCAATGACCAAGGTACTGGACCAGCTGGAGAGGTACTCCAGCGCAACGTTACTGTCTTTGCAGATGGCCAGATCGATCGCTCACCTTGTGGCTCAGGCACAGCTTCAAGAGTAGCAGTACTTCTCGCAGAAGGAAGATTGGGTGTTGGAAAGTCGAAGCTTCTGCACCGATCGATTATTGATACAGTATTTGAAGCTGATATTGTCTCTGAGGAGGAGAGCCCTGTCGAATTCCCGGCATGTATTCCGAGAGTGAGAGGAGCTGCTAATTTGGTTGGGAGGATGAACTTCTTCATTGATCCGGAGGACACAGTTTTTCCTGGGTTCCTTCTAAGATGAACGTATTGCAAAGAGTAAGAGGAAATGGTCTCAGAAATGGCAGATTCCATCATTATTCATTAGTTTATAAAACACGCTACCATAACCCATATCATGCGCTTTTATACAATCTTTTCCCAGTCCATCTATGCCAAATTCAGATTTTGTGTATACGGACTCACGAATGTGTTCCAGTCATTCAAATCCCCGGTAACCAAAACCGGTGTATCCTTTTGGGTATGCAAATCTCTCATGCGCCAGACTTTCAGAATAACCGCTTTTGTTCTCTCAACATTCGCCAGCGTCAAGCCTACCATGGCATCAAGAGTTTCCAAGACAAGCTGTCTTCCAGATAAGAAAGTGCCTTGATCACCGTGTTCGAAGATCTTATCGTCGTTCAAAGGGTCTAATTCCACAGCGGCGACAAAGAGAGGAAATAAGAGTCCTGCGGCGCTGCCCTGTTGGATGAGGTTGTGAATACTATGCAAGACCTTGATAACAAGCTGTGAGACTTGTGGTGTAGAAGGATCTGCATCTCGAAGCAGACAGTGAAAGTATATCTGCACCGAAGTCTTCTTCAGATCGACACATCGTCTGACATTCTCATCCATCGCCTCAACAACAGTGATATTGGAGCTGACCAACGTCAACTCTCTATCAAGCTCCTCGACTTGGACCTCATAGTCCTCTTGAGACATATCTCGGGTACGTGTCCTTGCAAGCTCAGTGATCTTGAAAATCACAGATGCCATGGCCGGGCTGCAACCCATCCACGCATCAATATCCTCCGTATGATCCGGCCTTTGCCAATATTCCAGGCCAAAGATAGGTGAATTTCCACATGCTGTTCTGCTGATAACATCTTGAAAAGCAAAATATCGCTCTGAAAACGCAGCAAGACTTCCAAATGCCGAGTTCTTACTCGATGGAAGTGCAAGTTGTTGGCGTTTCCTCATGAAGTCTTGACTTGCCCTTAGGTGAAATACCCATCGATAGTCGCCGTTATCAAGGATTTCATAGAGGCAGAGGAACATCATTGTTGCAGGGACTTGGGGATCCAGAATGACATCTGCTGTGACATCTGGAGATCGAATTCTCTGTAGAAGACCGGTGAGGGCTTTGCCTTTCATCTTCATTGCTGTATGTGTCCATGATGGATCTGTGATGCTTCGATGGCGAGCGGAGAATGCGAGGACGGATTGGACAAGAAGATCCTGACCGGCATGGGTGAAAAGAGGAGCGACCATGCTTGCGAAAGGTGATGAGAGTTGTGAAGAAGGTGTTGTGAGAGGACATAACCGTAGGAGATAGTATTCGAAAAGACTCGTTTCAAAGGTGCTCAGTGTAGGGAATGATGATATTGAGGGTATAAGTCTTGGTGGTGATCGTGACCTCCGAATAAGCGCTGAAGACGGTTCCGTTTCATCCCTCAACTCCATAGCCTCCCTAACAAGACTCTCTTCATAATTCGGATCATGAACAAAGTCACTATAATAAGTATTGATAAAATGTCTCGGCTCAACAGCCCCAAACCCCCAAACCTTTGGCGCATGAACCTGCGGCGGTCGTCTCTGTCTCGCCCCATCCTTACACCAAACACCCTCCCTCCCAAACGAGAGCCCCTTGGCAGTAAACTCAGCCTCCCATTTTAACTGCAGCGTAGTATTGCACGACAGCCCGCGGGAGACGCAGTTCCGACATGCAGGCTTAGCTTCGTCGCATTTTACCTTGCGGACCCGGCACGTTTGGCATCCTGACCTTGTTCGTCTCTGGACGGGGCCGGTTTTGCCGGGGGGACGGCGGCGCGGCATTGGGGGGAGATGGGACACGGAGCAAAAGTGCCGGGAGACGGAAGAGGATTCTTTTGCTTATGAGAGTGAGTGGTTGATCGTCTGATGGGGAGAGTGGAAAAGCGGGGGGAGTTTTGGAGGAGGAGACGACGCTATGGATGGGGCCATCACCTGATGATAGCGAATGGGCGATTAAACCGGTTTAGATCGGGCCACGAGCCAATCAGATGTACAGTGTGAATCAGTGATTCGGCTGGACCTTCGACGACATATCTCGGTTGGACCTTCAATGGAGGCGACAGTATTGGGCATTTCCTATATCTTTCATGATCCGAGCTGGTTATTCCCATTCTTTATCCATTGTATCACTAGCATTACATTCTCACCATCACTATAATGGCCTCAACTCTCACCAAACAGTCTCAAATTCTCATCGTTGGTGGCGGAACTTGGGGATGCTCAACTGCCCTCCATCTCGCTCGTCGAGGTTACACCAACGTCATTGTTCTCGATGTCAATCGCATCCCGTCACCGATATCAGCCGGGCATGATGTAAACAAACTTGCTGGCGGACTTAGTAAGACACTCTATCACAAAACACTCAAACACTTTATTAACAGACCAGGCACTGCCGATAGCAAAGGTGACGATGAAGACTCAATCTGGAAAGCACTTAGCTACGCCGCAGCTCAAGGCTGGCTCCACGACCCTGTCTTCCAACCATTCTGCCACAATACAGGCTCTGTCATGGCTGGCTCAACACCAAAGTCTATCAAGCAGCTGGTAGAAGATGAGATCGGTGACGACATCGACCAGTATACACCTCTCAACACAGCAGAAGATTTCAGAAAGACCATGCCTGAAGGTATTCTGACAGGCGACTTTCCAGGCTGGAAGGGCTTTTACAAGCCCACGGGTTCTGGTTGGGTTCATGCTCGAAAAGCTATGAAAGCTGCTTTCGAAGAGAGCGAGAGGCTTGGTGTCAAATTCATCACTGGCTCTCCAGAAGGAAAGGTGGAGAGTCTGATCTTTGAAGACGGCGATGTTCGAGGTGCCAAGACGGCAGATGGTAAGGAGCACAGAGCGGATCGAACTATTCTTTCCGCTGGTGCTTCAGCAGAGTTTTTCCTCGATTTTGAGAACCAGATCCGCCCTACAGCGTGGACCCTGGGCCATATCCAGATGACACCAGAAGAAATCAAGCTGTACAAGAACCTGCCACCTCTTTTTAACATCAACCAAGGTTTCTTCATGGAACCTGATGAGGATCTTCATCAACTCAAGATGTGCGATGAACATCCGGGCTACTGCAACTGGGTTGAAAAGCCTGGTTCTAAATACCCCCAATCCATCCCCTTCGCAAAGCATCAAGTGCCAATCGAGGCTGAACGACGCATGAAACAGTTTCTGAAAGATATCATGCCTCAGCTTGCAGATCGGCCGCTTGTTCATGCTCGAATCTGCTGGTGCGCCGATACGCAGGATAGAATGTTCCTGATCACCTACCATCCTCGACATCCCTCACTTGTCATTGCTTCAGGTGATTGCGGTACAGGATACAAACATATCACGTCGATTGGAAAGTTCGTCTCTGATTGTATGGAAGGCACGCTTGAGGAAAGGTTTGCCAAGTTCTGGAGATGGCGACCAGAGAAGTTTACCGAGTTCTGGGGTAAGGATCCTCTGGATCGGTTTGGAGCTGACGATAAGATCATGGATTTGCCCAACAGTGATGTAGAGGAGTGGACAAATATAAGATATGATAGCTAAAGCCTCTCATTTGAAGAATAGTTGATAACGAAAGAATGTCACCCGATCGAAATGTTCTAAGACCATTTACAGGATGCAACCACCTGTGACCCAAAGCAGTTCGTGGCCACATGTAGCGAGACCCAAACCCGCTTGATACGGGCCTTCTGGGGATTATAATTGCACAAGCCCTCCTTATACCAAAGATGATGAGACTCTATCATCTGGTGCACTGACGAAATCCTTTTCAATCCATCTTACAACATGGCTCCACCCTCTTCCGAGCCCTCATTAGACGAGGTATCGTACTCTGATTCCATGTCTGTAAATGGCACAAGTTCCCAGTAAGCACCGTCATCGCCACATCTCTTTTCCCAGGCTGCAATTTGCCGTTTTGGGCAGGATGAACTCTGTAGATGGCTGTCATCGTCACAAAAGAAATCGAAAGAAGACAAACAAACGCTACATATAAAGCATTCAGGGTCGAACGCACAGGTTTCGCAATAGTAGCAAAGCTTTTCTCTCATCCTCGGCCGACGCTCGTTTTGGTCAGAGGCTGGCCATGGTCGATCGTCCCAGTAGGGACACTGGTGCTCTCTCCCTTGCCACAGCATTTCAAAATCCTTTCGGGTATAGTTAGGCGTATATCGTGCTCTGCGTGGATAATACTTTCTGGTTTCTGGAATGCTATACCCGAAGCGACTGAGAGCCGCATCCCATAGATCACCTTTCGCCGAAGGGGAGAACAGGTAACAGGCTTCACACGTGACATTATACGCATAGTGCCATGCCTGATAGCCATCTTCGTCAACAGAGTACACGTCCGCACCATGCTCTACCAGCAGCATCAAAAGCTGCAGGTACTCTTGAAGGAATTCAATCCAAACGAGTATTTTATCCATGAGGTGGTGTAGACATCCTTTCCCCACAAAGGTACTATTGACGTCGTAACCTTGTTTAATGAGGAGTTGAATCTGTTGTAGGGCCTGGCCTGGTTTGGACTGTAGTGTTTCGTAGCAATCAGCAGTAGCCCGGGGTATTAGATTTTGGCTCTGTATAGCGTTTGGATCCGCATAAACAAAAGGACTTATATTGAACGTCTGTTTCAACATGATGTGTTTGAATTCTGACTGCCAGAGTCAGAAATATACAAAGACCAGTGAGGAAGTACTTACATCAGAACCAGCAAGCAACTCTATTACAGCGAAAGGGCCGCCCTTGACTTGTAAAGTCACGTCTGCCCCTGCGTAAAGCAATGCTTCATAATGGTTCCTCGAATCGAGATATACCAGGGCCATGTGCGATGGAGTTCTGCTATAGTGTTATTCCGAACTGAGGATTGCTTGGGACAGTTTTCATACGTCTGGATGTCACTCCCCGGTAGAACTGCAACTTCATCGATATCCAATCCTTGTTCAATTAGGAATTTCAGCACCTGGAGATTTCCCACTGAGTGCTGTATTAAAAAATAATAAGTCAGCGCCTTCGATTACAAATTTGACGACTGGGACTTACATGGAGTAATGACCATCCATCTGTATCATGATCATGGATATTTGCTTCCCCACCCTCAAGTAACCCGACAAGGTCTTGGACTGAGCCGTTTCGGGCTGTGTCAAAAACAGGAGAATTTTTGGGTAGAATGTTGCAGACCGTAACGCAAGGCAGCATGCTGCTAAAACTGTTGTATAAAAGCTGCCCCTGATTCACCGACAAGCTGAGCATCTTCTTGGTGCTTTTGGATGTGTAGGTAAGTTTTGCGAGGAAGTCTCTTCTGGTTTCATTTCGTCTTTGTTCCCTTTCGATTTCAGAAGATGGTTTTCGACGTCTCCTAGCTGTCGTGACTGTCATAACTCCGTCATCTATTTCGAAAGCTTTTCGTTTCCGTTCTTGAGAAATTAAAAGCTGTTCGCTCGCTGGTCTCCACAATCTTGTTGCTCCTGAAGAAGTAAGTAACACAATCACATAAATCACACAAACGTACCAGTTTTATTGATCATCATCGACGGAGAAGAGAGGATGATATTTGCCATAAGCGCAAGTTCCTTTGAAACGTCTTGGCGACAATTTTGGCATGTCCCTTCTGACTCTACAGGCTCTGCATCATTTCGGATACATTCCAGAAGATGCTCAATGTCTTTCAGGAGCTCTTCTGAATCGTCAGACTCGACCACGCATGGTTTCTTCTCCAGTAGTCGCATTAAACGATTGATGCTCTCATCCAATGGTGTATCCGGTAAACAGTCCATCTCTTCGTCATCCACCTCCATCACTCTTGCTGAAGTGGATGGCGATTTCTCCTCGGTAACGAGAGCAGCTGCACTGGTTGCTTGTAGGGCTGCGATCTCTTGTTTTAGTTGTTGGAGATCGTTCAAGATTTCGGTAGATTGCGCCGCAGTAAAAGACACTTGTTGCGCCTGAATAATATGGAGCCAAATTGTGAGATGTTGCAAATGACCTTGAACCACATGGCGGATATGATCGAGATCTTTTTCTGAGAAACATAGCTTCAGCTTTCTCCAGAGGCGACCTCTTCGACCATCCGAGGTGGAAACATCAAGGGATTTCAGCTGAGAATCAAGTTCGGCCAAGTCGCCTTTGCATTTCTTTGCTAAACCTTCCAACTGAGACCTATCGATGTCATCGACAGAAACAAAGGATAATTGCTTTAGCCGTTGTAAGACACTCTCGAGCTGTGCAACCTCGTCGGTGAGGAAACGAATGGCCTCAGGGCCATCTTTGATGGCCGAGAGTGCCGAATGGATTGATCGGGTCACTGAGAAAGCGACGGTGAGAAAGGTGAGAATGCTGGCACCAGCGCCGACAGCTTCCATTTCCTCGGATGTTACTGGAAAGGGACTTTGAGACGGAAGAGTTAAGGTGGATGGGGGAGTACGAGTACAAGGTTGAAATAGTCTGCCCAGAGTGAAAAGTTCAGCTGGTCTGATTTTTGTAATTGTGAAATTCAGAGCGGCAAGCACAGCCTGATTTGTGACTTTTAAAGGTACTTCTTCTACTGCTGTCAGCCCAGTTGGTTTCACAAGAGCTAAGCCACCACTAACAGCTCAGAATGCAGGATACGGAGTACACGTTCCAGCACTTCACATCCAATCATTCAGATCAGGCTGTAACACTCGAGCGGTGAGCCAACAGGGCAGATTCTATGGACTATGTGCGGGCGTAGAACTAGTCATTCGGTCAGAGCTTCCCACTGGTCACTTGATAGTTTCAGTAATGACTTTCTCACGGCTATTGGCGCCGGAGTTTGTTCTTGGGCGCTAGACAAGTCAACTAAACCGTCAACCAGTTTGAGAATTACCGTGATGCATTAGCCAGCTCTACTCTGAACAGTTCTCCGGAGACTTCTCAGTACATAGACAAAATTGCGGATATTGATTAGAAGCGAGACCTCTATGTACGTGAATTCTTCTTGGAGATTTTCCATAGGTTCCTTGTAACCAGACTTTTACTCTGACACGGAGAGTCTGGACCATGAGCGCCGTGATTCCTGCTACATACGCAGTTGAACATTCACATCAAGTGCCCGAACGGACTTTAAACTGATTCAAGGCTAAGACAGTCGTGAGCCGCGTCAGATGGTTAGATAATGCCTATAAATTTCCCGCTTGAGCATGATTCTTTGTACTCAAACATATCTTAGATATTTTATGCAACAGCTCAACTATAAATAACCTGTAGTTATTAAATCAGCCCTAAGCTATAAAAAGCCAATATGTGCGTCGAAATTTTCAAGGTCTGTTACTCGTGTGGTCATCGGGAGTCCCTCGGGTGGACTTATTGTGAGCCTTACTTGTGATCAAGCCAATCGTCTGTAGCTATCTCGCTTGTCGGATTCGAACCCTCTATTCTCTGGCATCTTCCGTCAGATCGCCCAGGCATGACAGAACAGACAGTCTCTATGTTTCTTGGGGACGAGTGCCCGAATGCGGCATGCCCGGAGAACAAGAAGAAGAGGGAAGAGGAGCGAGAAGAGGGTGAATGTAGCACGGAGTAGGTTCTTTGTAACCAAAACTTTGCTCCGATACAGAGACTTATGAGACCTGTGATTGCTGTAGCAAAGGTAATAAATAGACGTCAGATTCGCGAATACATTTCAGAGTGATTAATAGCTAAGATGGATGCGACACATGTAGGGAAATATCTATAACTCCCCGACTTGAGCGCCAACCCCCCTTCATCAGTCATAACACAAACATGCTCCATCGCGACATCAAACAATACAACATCCAGAAAACCATCCTACAAAGGACGCAACCACACACGAACCACTTTTTTTTGGAAACACTTCTCACCTATATCAAGCCAAAATGTGCACCAGATATATGAGAACATGTCTTATGTGCCATCATAAGGAATTCATTCGGTGGAGCCACTGCAATCATTATACTCTCTGGCTCGCACATGGCCAAGATCCTGCCTCAACCGAACCTACTGCCGCCTGGCATAGTCAATCAGGTCTTTCAAACATCGACGAGGTGCCAATGACCTTCTTTACATCAACAACATGTCCCAACCAGGCATGCCCGAGTAAGAACTGATGAAGCGAGGAGGAGAATAAGGAGAGCTAGTATGAGAAAGGATAGCAAGGAATTACTACACTAGCTATATATAACAAGAAATTCTTCAGCTATGTGAACTCCAGCTTCCCTATCAATTTTGAATGGTCTGAGATCGAGTCTGTAATTAGTTGTGGATATTTTGTCGGCAATACATCCCTGCTAGTAGCATTGTCACAGCGACCCTTGATCTAATTTACCAGATACTCAGGAGTGGCACCAAACAAACTTCATAAACTATAGTTATCATCCACTCCTACCATCATGTTCCGATCCAAAGAGCCCTTTGGGGGCCAAGAGACGATAGATGCACGGCTAATTGAAACCAATAAAGGCATAAATGTGTTATCATCACAATGCGTCAAATTTGTGAAAGATCGGTCCGACGAGTTTACAAATTATTTGCTATATGCATGGGAACGAGATGGTACCGTTATTCTAAAGAACGAAGAGCTTCTAAAGGCGCTGCAAAACGTCGAGGTAACACGGAAAGATGGCCAACTGAGCCTATTGAGGGAATTCTCCCTGCCGCTTCCGAAATTCGTTTTCTTACAGGCCCGATATATGCCCCCGAATGAAAACTTCAAGTTCCTAGATCTTGACCCTAAATTGTCATCAATCACATTGGGCCATGGACATTTCTCCGGGTTGACATCGGTGTTTAGACGACGGATGACGAGTGGTTCTATCTCTCCCTCCTTAACTACATACTGAAACAGAACAAAGACGGCACTGTGGAGTTTCCACGACGAGTTTTCGAATTATATCTTCGCTGGCAGGCTGTTTATGAAGCTGGCGGAGAGAAAATCAGAGTTGAAGTCAGTTAAGCAAGACCTATGACTGCTAGTATTATCCATTTTAACAAAGACTTTCAGAGACTGGCTGAGGGATCAACGACTTGTCCTTACACCCGACGGATGGAACTGCCGGCCAGTTTTATGGCAAAGCCCCGAAGAATCCACCCAGCGTGATCTCTGGCTCAACGCTTCTCCCGCCACCCAAAGAATGGGAAGTCTCCAATTCTGAACTTGCCGCTCTTGAGAAGTTCTACAGGGAAACGCTAGAGATCATGGATGGAGAGGTTGAATCGATTCTCTTGGAGTTCAACAAAGAACTCGATTTCAAGAGGGCGAAGGAAGTGTATCACACTCTGCAGATAATGGAACCAGGCCTGGCGAAGGATGATGCCAAACGAATCAGGTAACGCTACCTGACCCTGTAGAAAGTAAGAGACTGACTTTGATCGAGGTCATTTTTCAAAGAGAAACCACGCCTCTTGTTGTCTAAGAAATACCCTGAGAGGTTCCTTTCGACCCAGTGTGTCTGGGCACCAAAGTTAATGAGTCGACGCAATGCAAGCGAGACTTGTCCAGAACTTGAATCATTCTTCGCCGACCTCTTAGGAGTTCCAAAAACCGACATTGGCGCTATCTACCTCGAGATTGTCAGCTTCAATCGCCGGATAATAGTCGACCCCTACGATCCAGCTGAGGAACAAGCCAAAAGACTTCTAGTATAACTGAGTGACAGAATTACAAGATTCGTGCATTTAATTGCTAAGGACGACCTCCTTGAGAGCAAAATATTCCAAGTTCTTGGGAAAGATGGATTTGTTCAAATGTTTTCAGTCTCGAAGCCTTTCTACATCATAGACAGGGAATATCTGCATGGTAGCTTTAGAGAACAAGTGGATGTCCTCGATATTGATCACACTACCTTTTGGCTACTAGAACCTTTCTTTATCCGGATGGGCTTTAAGAGCAGGTTTCACAGAAACAACCTTATCATGGAACCTGCTTCCTTGACTCCTGGCTCAGTGAATTGGCAGGCAACGCCAGTCATGGATCCAGAGCGAGTTGATGGATTCTTGCGGTAAGAACCAATACCCTAACTGCCGCCCCGTTGTCTAATGCATGACAGCCTCGCCGTTCTTTCAGGAGCTTCCGTACAAAAATTACAGAGGAGATAGCCTCACTTGAGCGGCATTTGGAAATGACCAAGATCCATTACTTGGACGAGGGCGACGTGAGATGCAACGTGTTCATCAAGGGACTTCCCTCAACTTCTTATGAAACTTCATTTTCGCCTTTCTATATTCACAAACGTCGAAATCACAGGTTGAATATCTACATCTCAAAACAGTCGGCTGAAGTCACGACTTCAGTTGAGCTGCCTCGCTCTTTGGCTGCGTGGTTGATGGGAGATTCCAAGCATCCAGATGCAAAGCAGGCTGACCCAAAATTCATCTACCTTGTGGGAACTGTACTCAGGGTTAGATATCACAAACTTTCTGCTATCAAGGATATCCTTGATGGAGAAGGTATTGTTGATGTTGATAAACTGCAATGTTCTATTTATCATCCCCAGAGCCAGTGAGTTCCTAAGAAACTCATTACCAATAATTCTTGCTAACTGTGTAATAGGAAGCGAAAGTCACCTCACTTGTTCTCCGCTCAACCGCCCTCGTTCGTGTCCAGTCGTTCGACTCTAGATTCCAACCGCACTTCGACACCAGCGCAAGTCTACGACTCGTCTGAGCGAGTATGGTCGTTGAGCTTCCAGGAGAACAAGGACAGCAGCACCACTGAGGATTCAGGCTGGGTAAAATAGTTTTAGTGGGTAACTAAGCCCGTATGTATCTTGAATTCATAGTCGCGATGTCTTCATACGCAACCCTTCGTCTCTGGCGGATTTCCGCATCAGTTCAATCCCTCACCCTAACGCCGCCGCTTCCCAACACAAAAGTTCGGACTTACTTCACGTCCTTCATAAGCTCGCTGTCCTTATCGAGCTTTGTCCACTTGTCTTTCCCATCGGGAATGTCAACCACTCTCTGAGTGTAGAAGATGTGGCACCTTGACCTAGTTAGCCCCATAATAACACATATCTTTGACAGCATAACTTACTGTGGCTGGAAGTTCTCTCGTAGCTGAGGCGTGTCCAGGTTCAAGAGCGTAGGGAACAGAAGCACCATGTTTCGTCCCTCATCCATAATCCAGCTTCCGCACTCAGCACAGCCGACCTTGCAGGGAAGAACATGCTCATTCTTCTTGGACGAAGTCTTGTAGAAGCGAAGGTTCTTGACACCGTTCTCAAAGGAGAGGTCTGTCTTTTTGAAGATAGCCGCCCATTGGAAAGGAGCACCTGAATATCATTAGCCGCTGAACATGTAGTGTACTATTGAGTGGAGTACCATGGATCTTCTTGCAGTCTATGCAATGGCAGTATTTCGACGCAAGAGGCTTGTCGCTGTTAAGCCAATACTGCACCCGACCGCAGTGGCACGAGCCATGAACCTTCTTTTCAAAGTTCTCTCGCTTCTCAGTAGCTTCATCAGGTCTTGTGTAGGGAGGTTGAGTCTCCCAGTCATCATGGTTATCATGGGCGAATTCGTGCTTGTGCCCTTGCATATGCTTCTCGTCGTCGTCGGCGCCCATTGTGATAGATAGAGATGATTATTCTTGGCAACAAATGAATAAAGTTGGTACCTAGATCTAAATTGAAAAGATACGAGATCTAGGATTAAAAAGAAATCTGGGGTTTTGTAGAAATGGTCGCGTGCCCTTGATCGACGTGGCGCACGGTTGTCGTCATAGATATATCATGACAAGTCTCCATCATGACCCTCATATTTTTTTGCTTCTCCCTCGATCCGATCACTCGCTAGGACCATTTCCTCCCTCGATCTATGCACCATTCAACATGTCATTGATCATCTCGGCCCACTTCCACGGCTCCCCGATCTGAGGGCTTGCCTCCGTGACACTATTGTAATACTCCCAGCCCATTATTCCTCCGATCCTCGGGTACCTGCTCACCAACTCTTTGAGACACGCGCGCAGCTTTGCTTCTTTTACGTGTCCGGAGCAATTTTCCGGGCTTGTTACTAGCCCGATGACGACTTTTTCCTGCGGCCAGCCGCGCGCAAGTATCGTGTCGTAGTCGTGTGTTTTACTCATGTCACCCCAGCCGCAGTAGAATTGCGTGTTGTACCACGCGATTCGCGAGCCAAGTCCCTTTTCGAGCTCTTCCATGTTGAAGCCTCCGAGATTCTGCCTGTTAAGCAAAGCTGGTGCGACGGGCGCGAGGGTGATGAGGAAGGATTGTCCAAAGTCTGTCTTGAGGTGATCAATCAGACGGACAACGCCTCCAAGCGACATGGCCTCTTCAATATCGAGGTCTAGTCCGTCGAAACCCGCCCACGCGATCATCTTGCGCAGAGGTTGATACCATCTGTGAAAACCCTCCAGCGACCCGTCCATTTTGGTGTATGACCCTTGAGCTGCGCCTCCAAGCATGCCGAGAACTTTTACACCGGCTTCTTGAAGTTGACGGACTTCATCCCAGAGGGGAATAAACTTGTCTGCATCATATAGATCATCGTTGAGGGTGATGCGCTCAGGCGTGTTGAGGTGGATAGCCGCGATAATGACGTGTGTGACTCCGGTGGCTGGGAGAATTGAAGGTTGAAGTGAGATGTATTTATCGTCTTTGTAATGCGTCTGATGGTAAAATATGATTCTCTTGTAAGGCTTCGGCTTCGAAGCAGGATCAGTGTGAGGAACGATCATTTTGTTTGAGTAAGGCGCTTATACTTGTCGGAAGACGCGGTGCAGCGATGGCATTTAACGTGCACTCTCCAAGTTCGGCAGTGTTGGTAGAGTCAAGCCACCAAAATCAGAGGTCTCTCATTGGCCTGGCTGGATATGAGCCGGATTTAGGAGTTCTCGAGCCACCATATTGAGTTTGATAACCTTGCCTCAGGGAGCAAGAAAACTTCTGACTTTAAATTAAGATAATAAAAATAGCTGGTCTAAAGGTCTGCTAAGTTTATACAAAGCTTGCCTAAGTTTGTTCACAACTTAAGATAGAGGTACTAAGTTTTCTTGCCTCCCCTAGCCTTATTCAGTCTCAACGAATAGATCAAAACAGGGCCTTGTGAAGAAAAGCGAGTTCCCTACACTTTGAGACATGGATGCATTATCTCTATACGTGAGTATTTCATTTTTACCTTGAAGGGTTGTGACGTGTCCACTGCGCAATAGACATCCCTATGGAGATAAAGATACCACTGCTACAAAGTCACATCTCAGTGGCAAACACCACTGCAAACCCTCTTGACTATCAATACAGCTAGATATCTACAGTCGATCACGGTGGTAGTTTGTTGAGAACTACAATCTTTTTTCTTCCACTTGATACACATATACGAGGATTATTCCTGTCAGATAAGATACGTCAGATGCTTGACGAGATAGATTTTAAGACCCTGACAAATGCCCCTATCTTTTATGTCAGTTCCATATTGTGGATAATCTCGGCTATGCTAACTCATGAGGATGTGTAGAAACCTTACATAACTGCCGGGTTGCCTAGTATTCCTTATCTTGTCGATCATGATATCGCCGAGGTGGGAGATCTTGTCTAACGCGGCAATTTCAACCCAATTTTCGACATGTTTTCTAATTCCGAGTGACGATAATTTCGATATATATACATACAGAAATCTATTAGACCACTTCCATACCAATTTCTGTCTTGCTATTTCAGATGTCGCATCAATGGCCAAAGTTCAACCCCTCTCGAAGTTAACAACATTGATGCTACATGACCCCACTATCCCAAGTCTTGCCAGCTTCCTTATTAAGCTAATCTCTTCCGTGCCAAGACATCTTTTTCTTGTTGATTTCCCCCGAAGTCATGCTTAAATCTATGCTAGTTCTCTGATGCCTGACGATCTTTTGAATCTGAGGGGAAATTGAGCACGGAAGCAAGAAGTAGAGCCGGACGTAATGAGCTACCTCTTTAGGAAGCAACCTCTGACCATGCAGGCTATAAAGCACGTATTTCCCTCGTCGATCAAGTTCTGTAGAGGTATCCAGCTTTCAGGTCTTCAAAATGTTGACAAAGACAATCTTGTTCGGTATCTCGGCCGCATCTGCCGTCAATGCCTTTCAATATGGCTACAACCACGTAACCGTACGGAAAGACATCCCCTTGGTAGCAGCAAATTTCAAAGATGTCGATATCGATCTGTATTCGCCAGCGTTCCTCGACCCTGAGAGCCGACAGTCAGGTTTCAAGAATGGAACTCAAGGGCCGACCTCTCACGAAGACATGGGTATGCATAAGTCCGAAGCACTCCAATGAACCCACGCTGACAACGTGCAGAGGCCTATATGGAAAGCATTGCTTCAAAGAACGACTATATGACCTATCAAACATCAAACTTTACATCCGAAGAACTGAGATCATTCCCATTCGTCAAGCTCTCATCTTCAAAAGGTCCAAAGACTACAGACAAGATCCGAGTTTGGGTTCAAGGCGCTGTACATGGCAACGAGCCAGCTGGTGATCAATCCCTCCTCGCTCTGCTCGGCAAATTCGACAAAGACCCCAAATGGGCCTCAAAGATTCTCAAGAACCTTGATATCGTCATCTTACCTCGGTACAACCCCGACGGTGTTTACTATTTCCAGCGTGTGCTCGCAACGAATTTCGATCCTAACCGCGATCATACTAAGCTTGCACGACAGCAGACTCGTAATATCAAGCAGCTTTTCAACGAGTTTGCTCCGCATGTTGCCATTGATATGCATGAGTATGGTTCATCAAGTCGATATGGTAACTATGTTCAAGCTTCTGATGGTTTGTTCTCTGCTGCGAAGAACCTGAACATCAACAAGAATATTCGAGAACTCTCTGAGAAGCTGTTTGCTAAGAACATTGGTGATGCTATGGTCAAGGCTGGGTTGAGATGGGAGCCGTATGTGACTGGTAGAACTAGCACTGATCCTGATTACGTGCCCAAGTAAGTCTTATGATTTTCGTTTTACGATTTCTGTCAACTGACTTGCAATAGGTTCGATGAAGCTGGCTCTGATGCCAAGATTGGTCGCAATGCAATGGGTCTCACCCAATCCATCACATTCCTGATCGAGATGCGAGGAATCGGTCTGGCCGACCAAGAATTCCAACGCCGAACTGCCGCTGGCTTGACCATGGCCAGCTCCATCATCGAAACCGCTTCCAACAACGCCCAGAAGGTGTTCAAGACCGTAGAGGGCGGTATCAAAGACTTCATCAAGTCCAAGGAACCCGTCGTCATCACCGACTCAACAAAGTACAGCACACGAATGTTCCAGATGATCGACTATACGAACGGCTCAATCGTCAAGGTTCCTGTTCAGTTTGCGTCTACTACACCAACTACTGCGAACCTGACTCGCTCTCGGCCGGAATCTTACCTTATCCCTGTTGCTTGGGCTGATATCGCCAAGCGCCTTGAGGTTTCTGGTCTTGAAGTCGAGATTCTTAGTAAGCCCTGGAGCGGTACAGTTGAAGCATTAAATGTTACGTCTTCGGAGCTCAGCAGTTCGTACTACGAAGGAGCTGTGCTTGCTACTGTTAAAACTGAAACCAAGAAGCGACAGCTTACTTTGCCGGCTGGCAGCTTTCTAGTCAGCACCAGGCAGAAGAACGCGGGACTGGCTCTGAATGCATTAGAACCTGAGAATATTGATTCTTATGCTAGTTTCAACATCATCCCTCTTGAAGTTGGAGATGAGTATCCTATCTTTAGGGTTCTTAAGGGTTAGGGAAGGATTTAGGTCCGACAGAGCATTTGATTCTTCTTAAACGGAAACTTATATATAGCTTTTAAACATGTCAAATCAAATATAAATGATCACAAATTGAGTATTTCTCTGGGTTCTATAATCTCGTTAACGGTAATTTCAGTCTGAAGACCGGTATTCTAGAATTATGCTAAATACATCGTTGGCGTTCCTTTTCCCCTTCGTCCTTCAGGCCACAATGGAAAAAGTTTCCTCTTCCCAACTTTATGAATAGATATCCGTTGGATATCGGTTTCGCAGAGTATTGGCACGGCATTCGGTATCTTTTGCCGACCCGTATCTAGCCTCGACTACCCTCCACCAAGCCAAAATACTACTATTCCAAATTCAGAAGGCCGATGGAGACGATGCTGCTGTGCAACAGCTGTAAGGCCATTTATCAATAGTTATCATGAACTTTCGTATCATTGGGTGCATCTCCTCACTTTCCCTTCCTCTTTGGGATGTAGCTATCTCGAAGACGATAGCTAAGTGCGGAGAGTGGCTTATACATATCACCCGATATCGCCAACTCTGTGTTCTCAACTCATTCACATAACTTCTATATGTTTATGTTCACAATGAGGCTTCTTACCCGGCAAACAGCGTATACGATTGCAAGAACCACCCTTCGCAGCAAGAAACCACTATCCAGCTTTAGCCGTGCTGGCGTTTCAACACTTCACGCTAAGATCAACAGCCCGCCACCAAGAATTGTCAAAAGTCAAGGATGTTGGCTGGAAACAGAACAAGGTCATCGGATCTTGGATGCATCTTCAGGTGCAGCTGTCGTATCGATCGGACATAATGAGTCAAGAGTCAAAAACGCCATTTCTGCTCAACTGGACCAGGTAGCATATTGCTACAACCCATTCTTCACTACAGAAGCAGCAGAGAAGATTTCTAGTTTCCTGACTGAGTCTACCAATGGGGCTATGTCCAAGGTTTTCATAGTCAGCTCAGGTGCGCCTTTTGTCGAATAAGTAATTCAGCTGTCTCTAACAAGAATCCTAGGTACTGAAGCTGTTGAAGCAGCTTTAAAAATCGCCCGTCAGTATTTTACAGAGCTACCAACACCACAGCCATCCAGGACGAAGTTCATTGCTCGCAAGCAATCGTATCATGGTAACACGCTTGGATCTTTGGCAGTAGGAGGCCACAAGGCTCGACGTGGCGTGTACGAACCTATTCTTGCAACCAATGTTTCTCATGTCTCTCCATGCTATCCTTATCGAGAGATAAAAGCGGATGAAACAGAACAGCAATATGCTCAACGACTAGCCAAAGAGCTAGATGATGAGTTTCAACGCCTCGGCCCAGACACTGTTTGTGCATTTATCGCTGAAACAGTATCTGGAACCTCATTAGGCTGTGCACCTCCGGTGCCTGGGTACTTCAAAGCTATCAAAGAAGTATGCGATCGTCACGGTGCTCTTCTGATTATGGATGAAGTCATGTCTGGAATGGGAAGAACAGGCACGCTCCATGCTTGGGAACAAGAAGGTGTAGTGCCAGATCTGCAGACTGTTGCTAAAGGTCTGGGGGCTGGTTACATGCCTGTGGGAGCCTTGCTTGTCGGTAACAAAGTTGCAGACGCTCTTGCTAATGGCTCAGGAGCTTTCTCTCACAGTCAAACTTACCAGGGTCATCCTGTTGCGTGTGCAGCCGCGTATGCTGTGCAGACTGTTATGAAGGAAGATAATATGCTGCAGAATGTGCAAGATACAGGCAAAGTACTGGGTGAGAAGCTCAAGGAGCGACTGGCAGGGCACAAGAATGTGGGAGATGTCCGTGGACGAGGACTCTACTGGGGCGTAAGTTGAAGCATCGATAGTTAAAGGCTTTGCTAACTGTGTCCAGTTGGAATTTGTTCGTAACAAAGAGACGAAGGAGCCTTTTGATCTGAGCGAACAAATCGCTGGAAAGCTGCACAAGGCTGGTCTGGGAGCTGATCATGGCATTTCACTTATTCCAAGTACCGGATGCCTGGACGGTGTTCGAGGAGATATGGTGATCGTCTCTCCTCCTTTCACAATCACGAAGGAGGAGATCGATTTGCTAGTTGACAAGGTCGAGAAAGTTGTCACTTCTGTCCTAGGAGCATAGATCATTGCATTACAAGGCTGTTTACCGAATAATCACATTATAAAAGCCTGCGTCGGTCCACCAAGCAAACTCGTCCACCTTATCGAAGACTGCGACGCCCAAATCTCCTTAACCTGATCAATAGCCCTCAACAGATTCCAACATCCCGTCGTATTATGCAGCTTGACCAACTTATCCAAAAAGAACTCCCTATGATCTGCTGTCGAGCTCTCAGCCGCCACGATGAAATACGGCCAAGCTAGGAGATGTCTTCCCACGATATCGACGTAAGCGTCGACTTGGCCTAGTGATTGTTTGAACCTTTCGATCATGGGGACTGTTTCTGAGGATGGGGGGTTGAAGATGGCGCGTTGGACGTAGATGTCGCAGGCCCATGTTGTTAGGGAGGCGAGTTGGGAGAGAAGGTCTTTCAGTTCAGGGTGGAAACGGTCGCACCATGTTATGAATTCGAGACAGGCTTTTTGCTGGGCTTGGATGAAGTGAACGCCATTGGTTTCGTTGAAGAGAGATTCTCCAAAGAGACAGACTCTGAGGAGATGTTAGTGTTTGTTGGTCACTTGTCCTTGTGATTATCCATACCTTAGTATCTGCATCTGTAGAAACCTCCTGAGGTCAGAGGTTCCTTCGCCCGCATTCTTCGCAAGTGCGTTAACTACCACCCGCAGCGAACCATAGATAAGTCTGAAGTTGTCGCTTCCACTGATCATCTCCCGAATATGCAGCAGAAGCAACGCAGTGAGTGCAGAATCATCGTCTTGAGGTGCACACTGATGAGACCGAATGATAAGTTCTCGGACAAGAGATCCATAAGCCGCTGGATCTAGTGATATTGCGGTGCCATTTTGTAGAGAGAGATGTTGTTCGACAACAAGAAGAACTGCTTTTCGGACTAGAGGGTCTGTTTCTGCTCTTGGTAGTACGAGATCACGATATCCGTTGAAGCCCATGTTTATGACTGCGATGAGTTGGGCGATGTTATTTGAGACTTTGGATGGTTAGATGTTGTCAAGGACTCGAGGACCATGAAAGGAAACTTACAGTAGCCAAGACAGAATCTGGACTTTGGATCAACGTGATCTAAGCCCCAGTCGATAGATACTGGTGCGTGATTCAACACAACCAATTCTTGTACCCCATGTTCTTCCTCAGTTGTCGTATCGACTTCAACAGAGAGTTGCTCAAGAGACTCATAGCCACTTGCGCGAAAGGGATCGTTGCGTCTTTTGCAATTTGAGACTGAGGTCGTGTCTGTAGACTTGATCTCTAAGCCATCAACAACAGGCAATGATTTGCCAACAAACTTTCCACGGGCGGCAATGCCATCATTGAATCGATATCGTAGACCTAATCCACTGCACTTGATGCCTTTGGCAGAACATTTGCCACATGTTGGCTCTCTCCGATCACAGTCTATGCGTCGACGAGAGCACTGGTAACATCCTTACGATTAGGTCAGTCTTGACTGGCTGAAGTACTGTGGGTTGCGGATATAATTACCTCTGACTTTGGGTCTTTTCTTTACTTTGTCCGACTTCGGAGGCGTTGCGGAGGGCATTGAGTTGGGTTCCGGGTGTGGCGGGGACACAGTTCTATGTGGTGCGTGGATGTGTCGCTGATATCACGCCTTGTTGTTCAAAGTGAATGGCACCTCGCAGTATCTTGTTGACTTGTAACGGGATTGTGATGAGTATGAGGAAGCAATTGATGAAGAAGTCTGGTATCGCAATCAGCAAATTGTCGCTATCGCGTCGAGATACCAACGAGATGCTATTTCGAGTTAGTGCACGTCGTTCGCCATGGCGTACAAGGCGGGGTAAGCTATTCCCTTGTAGGAAATTCGACACGAAGATCGAATCGCCATTGATAACTCGGGCAATAGAGAATTGATACGCCTCAGGGAGCAAGAAACCTTCTGACCCTAAACTTAGGTGCTTAAAATAAGTTATGTAAAGCTTTCCTAAGTCTGCACTAAATTTACCTAAGTATTTATATCATTTAGAAAAGACGTTCTAAATTTTCTTGCCTCCCCTTAATAGGTACTTCATCAGCGGTTGTTAGACTGGCTATTCATCAAACACGTCCTGGATCGATACTTGCTTGGGTGGCTTTGGCAAGATATTATCTCTCATGAAGGTAAGAAAAGCCTAGAGCCATCAAGTCTTACTATTGGAAATAAGAGGATTACTATATCTCCAAAGTCTCTAGGAACCCGTTGAGATGGGAAACATAAGAGTTGAATCAAACAGATTCTCTTTGAAGAGTTGTAGGAAGAGGCGTCATATCTGGTTGGTAATATCTAACTGGCGACTTCTCATGGAAAGTAACACAGAATTAACAATCACAAAAGCTTCACGAGTTGGCTTTCATGAGAAGTAAAGAGCTTCATCATACGCTAAATGCCAGCGTATGTGAAGAAGTATGGTCCATAAAATAGTTTCTAGGTGGTAGGCTAGTTGGGGAATCTCAAATCTATCATTCTATTGCTGAGATCTCGCTGTTATGGCTTCATCGACCTCCTGGCAACCCAAAACTGCGCATTGTACGCACTCTTCGTCAAAGCCTTATTGTTAAACCCATAAACAGCCTCCATACTTCTAATCGTCCTCCCCTCAAACGTCAACGGTCCACAGCCCTCCTCCGTATCAAGATACTCAAAACCCATCGCCTCAGTGACCTGAACAATCTCCTCCAACGTCAACTGCACAAACGGTCCAGTTCCATAGAGCAATGGTCCAAGGTTTACCCAGTGTCCACCTGGTTTCAGAACCTTTTTGATGGTATCGAGATAGCTCATTAGGTTGCGTGCTGTGTCGATAAAAAAGTATGTTACTATTATGTCGTAGTAGCCGGTTTTGTCGTTGAAGACGGTTGTGAAGTCGCCTTCTGAAAGGACCACGGATGTTGAGTTGAGGGATGTGTCGGGGAAGGTAAGTTCGCGAATCATATCGGATTCTGTGGCATGGTGGGACCAGCCGTCGATGAAGGGGTGGAATGAGTGGGTGTTTTGAGCGCGGTTGACTTCGATGAAGCGGTAGGCAATGTTCATATACATGGACCATTCGTTCACAGTCACCTCGAATCCTGAATAATGTTAGTACTGAACTATTATCTCTAACAACAGACTCGAGCGTGGTGAGACGCTGTGTTTTTCAAGGAATCTTACCTCCAAGTCTCGCGATATCATGTCCAAGTCGTCCCAACCCTGATCCAGGAACAAGAACCTTGACCGGATTGTCATCATCCCTCACAGGAAACAACCCCTGAAGCGTTGCCACAAGACAAGCAAAAGTCTCCTTTCTCTCAGATTCTCCCTCTTCCGTCCAGTCTCGAACATAATGCTTCAATGCTTGAGATACAGAAATCTTATCCGCAAGCCTCCCTGAAGATTGAGCAGCGCTGATATGCCTTTGAAGCTCCTCTTCATCAATACCATAGAATTTCATGGCATTTCGAACTATGGCATCACAGAGCTGTTGGTTCTTCTTCAGAAGAGCGTCTATGCGAGTGAACTTTTCGGAGTAGTTGACTTGATGTTCTAGTAACTTTGTTCATGTTAGAGTTGCGAAGATACGCGTGAACAAGGCAAACTCACAGACTTCTGAGCTCGAGAAACATGTTTATAAAGACCCTCAAATCGATCAACTTCAGCTTTTTGGCGCTCATGGTATCTTCTGTATCCATACAATGCATCAAGCAATCGATGTCTTGGATGCTGAGCATTCCAATTCCCCCATCCTATCGCCATGCTCTTGTCCAACTTCTTCTTGGCTTCGACATGACGAGGAGTATCAGGGTTACAGGAGAACTGCTCTAGTGAAGTGACAACAGACCCGGACTGTGATCGACGGGTTAGCTGGGGGAATGTGGTTGTCGCGGTGAGCATTCTCTTCCGAAGTTTGTATGCGATGAGGAGCAGGAATAGCAGGAGACAGACCAGGTTGGGGATGGAGGCGAGATCAGGGTTGTTTTGTTTCAAGGCGTCTACCTTGATGTTCTCGTCTGCAGCTGTGCATAACGGTCCGAACAGGAGGGTGAGGGCCGTTGAGGCGACCAAGTGTGGCTTCATACTGAAGTGCAGTGCAATAGAGGGGTTTGGAGGAAATGATGTACATTCACGTTGAATGAATGCAGTTTCAAGGTTATCAAGGTTATGGTTAGTCACAGGCACCGCAAACTCATCACAAGTACCTACCAGCCCGTTTTACAGACTTTTTATTCCCGTTGTCGAGGAATAAAAAATAAGAGTTGCCTGATTCGTTTCTTGGCCGAGCACTGCAGTGGCAGGGTGGATACGATTATTCGTGGTCGTTGGTGGGGTTGTCCAGGGGATCCAGTTTTTAAGGTGAGGACCTTGATGGGCATTGCCAAGAGAAGCCTCACGATGAGCTACAGGGACATCAACGACAGATCCTTTCGGCTATAGAGACGTTTTAGTTGTTGGTGTGAGCAATGTGACTGGTTGTAATCGAGATTAGAGGGGTGCTGAGTACCTGACTGGCATACCTCTACTGACTTGCACTTACACGAGGTGCTGGATGCATCTTGACAGACGTTGACCAACGGTTGAGCCGTCATCTCAAAGCCCAGCTGGCAGATCCAGGTCGAGGACAATACGCCCCAGCAGTCTCTATAGAGCTCGTAATACCCCCACGCGCTTACAATGGATCTCTCAATGCGTCCATTATTCCCTCCCCGACAGCCCGTTCCTTGCTAGCCCAACACTCGCATCCTGCGAAACTCGCAAGTGACAAGGCAATTCTCTTGGCAGAGCCTGTGAATCACTCTCTCTCTTATTGCAAGGGATATAAAAATTTCCTCTCCCACTTGTATCTCACCTCAACATCCTCTCGCTCACATCAACATTGACATCTCTCACGCGCATCCAAGATGAAGACCACTTCTTTCGCCGTCGCTCTTCTCGGCCTCTTCCCCGCCATCATGGCCCAGGCTCCCTCGCCTACTGAGTCTGTTGGTTGTGAACCCCATGGTGATCACTGGCACTGCGAGGCTGCTCGTACTGATGCTGTCGCTGCTACCTCTGAGGCTGAGCACGACCACGACCATGATCACTCTACTGGTGCGACTGAGGCTCTTGCTCCTTCGCCTACTGAGTCTGTCGGCTGTGAGCCCCACGGCAACCACTGTATGTTCCTCACTCCCTTCATTTCGCAACCGCTTATTAACATGGATGTCTAGGGCACTGCGAGGGCGCTCGATCTACCCTTGCGACTGAGGCCAAGACCACTGAGTCTGAGCATGAGCATGACCACGACCACGACCACGATGACGCCACTGGCTCTGGTTCGCTTGCTCCCTCTCCTACTGAGTCTACCGGCTGTGAGCCCCATGGCGACCACTGGCATTGCGAGGCTGCCCGCACTGGCGTTGAGGCCAAGGCTACCGAGTCTGAGCACGATCGCAGCCACTCCGCTGGTGCTTCCGCTTCGCTCGCTCCCTCTCCCACCGAGTCCGTTGGCTGCGAGCCCCACGGCGACCACTGTACTTTTCTTCCTCCCATCACTCGTAATCGCTTACTGACTGTTTAGGGCACTGCGATGGTCCCGCTACCGCTGCTTCAGACAGCACTCCCACTTCCAGCGACTCAGCTGCTGTTACCGACAACGCTGCCATCGGTCAGATGATCCCTCTAGCTGGCATGGTCGCTGCCGCTGTTTTCGCTCTTTAAATTGTGAGGTTGAGAATGGATGATCTGGGGATATCCGTGTCGAGCCCTGGGTTGATGCAGTGGAGGATAGAAAGACACACTTCATGTAAACTTTGTTTCTTGATGGACTGGAAGCATTTTGACTACTGGTCTAAAGATGGGACGTAGATATGTTCATTAATCACGAATTTTACCTGACCTTGCTCTGAAGTTGTTGCGTTATGAGTGAGTGTTGGTTGTCTTGTATGACTGATCTCTTCGAATGAAGAGCCAATCCAATCCTGCAGACGTCCTCCATAAGTGCTTTCAAAAGTTGTTTCAGTGCACATTCCCGTAGTGAGTATCACAATTCAACTAAGGATGTTCGCGTAATTGACAGCTGAGCCTCACTCAAACAAACCTTCACCTTCGCCCTCACGTCACACGTCAAAACAACCTCCTCAATAGCGCCGCACCCAAAATTACCCATAAACATAACCTTGTTTTCCCTCCCTCCCCTACCCCTGTCCTGCATATTCAAAATTCCCCCGAGAAACAGATCACATCACGTCAAAAAATCTCTCAGTTCCAGCAAAAGTTCACCGGGGCTTGGCCCACGCCCATCAAGGTTCTCAGCAACCCACCATCACCGCTGAATATCGAGTTGGCCGTGGGGAATAAACAAAGGACTAAATTCCGCGGTCTTTTGGGTAAAAGGGAAAATCTCTGCTAGTAAGTAACCTTGTTTGCAAGCTTACCTGTCCGCGGTATCAAATCGGATCGTTGGGTTTCCAACGATGTAGTTTTAGTTTGAGGCAGGAAGATCCACGGTCTGGCCGATTGCCACTTTTGTCATGTCCTGTACCGTAATATCTCTTCTAGAAAAGGCTTCTCGTAGACATCCAGGTCATCCAATGTCGCCCCACGGTTCTTTTTGTTCGGTGCCAAGAGCCCTGTTGGAGTTTCACTGACAAAGAGAGGACCTTGATGTTCACCTATTCCCCCACGCTAAATGAAGTTGCCTCTCGCAGTAGCTATACATAATAAGCTTAAACATCCAGAGTTTATTCTTTTTTTTTTGCAGCATCATTCAACTCATATGAAAATCTCTATCATGGCTCGTGTCAAGAGTTTCTTCGAGAGCCGTCGTGCCACTATGATCGCTGGGTCTCTCCTCTTCGTCGTCGCTGTTTCTGCGACGGCGAACCCAGGGGCTGTCAAGAGACAGGCGTCTGCCACTGCGACCAAGACCGGCATTGACTTTGAGAGCTTGACGGGCTGTCATATGCATGGTCCTACTCAGTACGTGCCTCGTTTCTCCCTTGCGCAAGATATGTTGACAGTGTAGGTTCTGTATGGATGGCTCTGATGAGTATCAGATCGTTCTTGAAGCGACCATGACAAAGGATCCTCCCACTTCGTACACAGACTGCCACAGCCATGGCTCAGACACGTAAGTTCTATCCTCTTGACATTCTGGCGTAGCTAACTGATCAGATACTGCATGAACCCCAACGGCGGAGAAGTCCAGGTCCTCGTGGAAGGTGCTACAGCCACTACTCAGACCGCCAAAGAAACTGCTGCCGCGAAGAAGGACGAGATCACTGCCGTGTCTGACTGCCACATGCATGAGGCGTCTCTGTAAGTCTGCTCTTCCACTATTGATAGAAGATTCGTGTTTAACAAGACCAGCTACTGCATAGGCCCCAGCTCATCAGAATACTACGTCCAGACTACCATCACCAACACCGAGGAGTATCCCGCTCAACTCACAAGCTGCCACAGCCATGGCGAAGAAACGTACGGTCCTCTTCCATCACTGCCAACTCCGGCTAACCTTTCAGTTACTGCATGTCCGATGACGGCGAAGCTCCCATTCTCCCAGCTGCAGATGTCGAATCCGGTAAAGCAGACCCTCAGCAAGAGCATTGCCATTTCCACGCAGGCGTCGAGTTCGTAGCTCCTTCATCCCCTCGAGAACTTGACTAACACGCGACAGACACTGCGTCGGCGGTGGCTCCGAAGAGGGCGGTCAGCGAGACTGCGGTCGTAAAGACAGAGACTACAAGATCGGCATTCGTATCGGAATGCTGTTCGTCGTTCTGGTCGCCAGTTCCATTGGTGTCTTTGGACCGATTCTCATGTCGACGTTTGTTCCCGTGCGATCGAACATTGTCCTCACGATTCTCAAGCAGTTCGGTACTGGAGTTATTATCTCGACTGCCTTTGTTCACGTACGTTTACCCACTCCCCTTGGAGACAATGACTGACCGTTGTAGTTGTTCACCCATGCGTTCATGATGTTTGGCAACGAATGTCTTGGCGAGCTGCAATACGAAGCTACTACTGCTGCTATCGTTATGGCTGGTCTCTTCATTTCGTTCCTTATTGAGTTCTGTGTTCAGCGCGCCATGCGATGGCAGTTGACCAAGAAGACCGAGACCGACTCAGCTTACTTGTCACCTAAGGCTGTGGAGAAAGCCGAGATGGCCAACATTACCATCATGGAAGCTGGTATCATCTTCCACTCAATCCGTACGTCCGTCACCCTTATTATATACCCCAACTAACATCTGCAGTCATCGGCATCACTCTTGTTGTAGCAGGAGACTCCTTCTTCATCACCCTCTCCATCGTCATCATCTTTCACCAACTTTTTGAAGGTATTGCCCTCGGTACACGAATCGCCTCGCTTGGCTATGGTCAAATGCCCCTCGCTCTGGGTCACTCACACTCACACTCTACACCACCTCCATCCGTTGAACGAACCGGAACATCTACTGTCCCTCTGTGGAAGAAACTCGTCCTTGCTTCTGGCTTCGCCATCGTCACCCCCATCGGCATGGCGATTGGTATTGGTGTTCTGAACGTCTTCAACGGAAACGACCCTGCTACCTTGATCGCTATTGGTACTCTGGATGCTTTGTCCGCTGGTATCCTCGTCTGGGTTGGTCTAGTTGAGATGTGGGCTCAGGATTGGATGCTGGGAGGTGAACTCAGCGATGCTAGCCCCCTTACTACGCTTTTGGCTCTGTTTGGTTTGGTCTGCGGCATGGTCCTCATGAGCTTGCTTGGAAAGTGGGCTTAAACGGTCGGTTGTTGGAATGCATGGAGAGCACGATGCGACGCCGGTGACGTCCATCGCAGTAGTCAAGAAGATCACTCATTAGAGATATAGAAACAAGCAGCACACACATACAGTGTACAGCATTCAATTCTCTTGCACTCTCTGTCGCTCCCTGGGAGCTTAGTGACTTAGAACTTCGGGAGTTCCTCAAAGGTGATATACTGAATGGGTCCAATTGAACCCAATACGCAGCGCCTTATACTCTGCCGTGATCACATCTCATCCTCCAGCATCCTAAGCTCAATCTTCTCTCTAGTCTCTCTTTGCGCGCGCAGCCTGGATCTTCTTGGTCAAGCCTCCGATGCCAAAGAAGATACCAATGACCGTCTCATTCACCCAATTAGGCAAACACGACAGAATCCAAGTCTTGGTCGCCATTCCCCCTGCATAAAACCAGTCGGGTGTGCCGCCGATCAACCCGCCCAGATATCCCTCACCCTTCAACGCAGCGGTCACCAGCTTCTCCGCATACTTCTCCGTCGGCATCGTCGCCGTTCGCTGACTGAATGTCAATCGTCGCTGGAAAAAGTCATTTATGGGCATGTACAGAGAGTTCGGCGGCAGAGATCGATGTGTCCGGCTGGCGATGTTGGATCGCACTGTGCCGGTGACGGCGACCATGACGCGCACGTTGAACGGCTTAAGTTCAAGGCGAAGGGCGCGGGACCAGACGTTGATGGCGCCCTTGGTGGAGGAGTAAATGGCGCCGAAGATGTAGGGAACAAGGGTAGATGTGCTGGAGATGTTGATGATGAGACCACGGGCTTCAATGAGGAGAGGTGCAAAGGTTGAAACCATCTGGATTGGGCCGAAGACGTTGACTTCGTATGTTTGGCGAACATCGTCAAGATCCGTGTCAATGGAAGGGATGGTGTGAGTTCGGCCACTAGGAGAGTCAATTATGCGCAATAGACTAAGAGCGTGTACTTACGCATTGTTGACGAGAATGTCGAGGCGGCCACCAGTGAGCTCAGAGACCTTCTCTTTGCACTCTTGGATACTCTTGGCGGAGGTGATCTCAAGAGGGAGGACGCTGATGCCGGGCCTTTCAAGATCCTTGATCATGTCTGTGTTTCGCACCGTCGCAATGACATGGCAGCCTGTGAGAGTGAATCAGTACTCAATTAACATATCCCCAATTATTCTACTCACCCTGACGATGAAACTCATCAACTAGAGAATGGCCGATACCTCCAGGCGAGCATCTACTCTCATCAGCATCCAATCCTCAACAATTTCGGCGCTCAATTGCTTTACCCAGTGATGAGAACGTAAGTTTTTCTTTCGGCCATTTTGCTAACAAGTTCCCAATCCTAACAAGAGATGTGAGTTGATTCGTTGAGAGTGAGCACTACTGCAAGTAAATAATCGTGGTGTTGAAGCTTGCGATTGAGGTCTATCGAAGCTCTTAAAGTAAAGTGAAAACATGTGAAATTGGTCCGAGCTGTTTCTCCATCTCATGCCGAGACCCACGGTGGATCACGATTTGGGACGTTTCAGCCACTGAGCATCGACCTGGCTTCGCTGCCCGCGGGCTCGCGTTGGGAGTTGAAGTGTCACTATACGATTATCGAGTGCGAATGCGAATCTCTATCTTGATCTAATGACTTGAATTGAGGAATAAACTCAGCCTTAGGGCTTTTATTAATTCCCCGCCTATTACTAGGCATCTATGGTTGACGGTAGAGGCTTCTTTGTCTTTGAAGCGGGGAACATGTTGCCTCGTATACACATCCAAATGCTACCCTGTACTTTGCAATACCGAGCAAGCATGCGCATCGCTTATGAACAACCTCTGATTCAAATGGGCTGAATATCTTCACAGGAATTATTACATACCTCTCCTCTGGGATCTCTAGAAGGCCTCAGAAGCAGTGACAATGGAAGCCAGGACTAACTCGAAGCTTAAGGTAGAGAGGGCCTAAATGCTAACTCCCTGGGCTTTTATGAAGGATCACGGATGTAATGGCCAGGAACGGCAACGGAGCAACTTACTGGCAACCGGGGTTCCTTTAAGGATCACTGATCAGATCGCGTGAGCAGGGTGAAGCATTGGGTATGGCTAACATCTGGATTACGTAGCCGATAATCCCGAAGATATGTATAAACGGCCATTCCTCGCGAGTCAAACTATCTCGACGAACCTCCAACACCAGATGGGCGCTTTGTCGGGAACTGACTTTGATGGAGCCAAGACCCCTCTGGTCATTCCGTGAGAGAGACTTTGATGCTAACTGATGCCGACATGGAGACTCCCAGCTCAAACTTGCAATGCATTGATAGCAAAAAGATGAACAGACCAAGCACCGACTTGGAGCCGCATGTTGTAATCGAACACCGGGATGAACGGAAACGGCAACATATTATTTGAAGAGAATGGACTTCGCTTCGCATTTCTTCCGTCGGCAACAATAAACTTTACCTGGATTGTGATAATCTTCATTTAACGCCTGCACTACAAAGCATGTAGGCCCCGAACCTTATCGCGCAAGAAAGGAGGCAGACTTGGGGGCCAGACCTTGGGTTTTGAGTCGACAGGAACATACTGAGATGAGCGACGACGACGTTTCAAAGATTGAACCAGACCCCAAGGCTGGTGCAAATAAGAATGGACTGCTTCGCTGTCTCGGCTGAGTCCTTGCGCCCACTTGCCCTGCCATTCGCAGGCTACAAATGGCCTTGTGAGGCAAAAGAAGTAGACACTGGTAGTTCTGAGGCAGTATAGTATCACCTACGGCGTGAGAGCATCTCTTATCGCAGGATGCCTCTCATTGACCGTTGACTGCGACAGAAACCGCCGCAGTCGTGAGCAATTCGAACAATGACTTCATCAAAGTACAAAATATGATGAAACAGTCAAGTATTTACGCTAAATGACAACCAGTGATACATCCTGTACCGTCCAAACTCCACGAGGCTATAACCTCATTCATACCCATCCAGAACCATTATTCCTTCATTCTTTTATAAACCATTAATCTCTCCAGCCCGATGATATTGACGAATGCGACGAACTCAAGCGCGATCTATTCCCCCGTGGATCAACAGGCGTAGAATCCATCTCAACCGCAGTACCCGTCCCGTCCATCTCATAAACAGGCGCTGGCTCAGGCGGCAGTTCCACCGGCTCAGGAGGCTTGTAAAATCCAGCATTTGGATCCGGTGTTCCCATTGCTTGCTGCGGCGAACCCGCTGCTGACCACGCTGGTTTCGGCTCGGTAGGTTGATAGGGTGAACCGTCGCGGTTCTCGTAGTTGGGCAGCATGGGGTGCGATTCTTCGGCGTTCTTCCTGCGGCGCTGCATCCAGAACCACACGAATAGGCCTACTACTGCTGCACCACCGACTGCTGCGCCAACGGCTACTCCCGCTGTGGCACCCGTTGACAAGCCCGAATCATCGTTGTTCTCAGCGCTCGTCGTAGCAGCAGCTGTGTCTTTCGTGGTACTCGCCGAGTCGGTCGCCGTCGCAGAAGCAGTCGAAGAGGTAGCCGCATCAGTAGTCGTACTCGCACTCGCACCCTTCTCCGCCGCCTCCTGATACTCCTTCTTGGTAACCTTCATCGGCGTCTGCGAATTAGAGCACGCCTCGTTCATGGTATCGTACGTCTCATCCACATCGCCGGGCGACTGCTTGCCGATACACGCAGCGGAACCGAGGATGAAGTCATTGTTGTAGTTGCCAAGACCGCAGAGGCAGTAGTTCAGCTCCTTGCTGTCAGCGCCAGTGCACGAGGCGTCGTCGGCGGCTTGGGAGAGACATTTCTGCGCGCCCTTGGGGTAGAAGTCGAAATTGTTGTCGAGAGCCAATGAAGGCGTTAGGAGGAGGAGGAGCGTGAACCAACGCGACGCCATGGTTGATGCCAATTGGACTGGATGCGTGTTGGTTGGTGTTTTTTTTTTTTTTGGAGGGCGGCCCCCTTGAGAGAGACGGGAACCTGGTTTTCAGCTGAAAAAGCCACCCAACCAGGCTAATTATGCAAAAACAATTGCTGATTGATCAATCATTCAAAAGCCGAAAGACATTTACTTCTTGAAGCACAAAAAATCAATAATTCCCAGCTCGTATTGTAGCGAATGACAGAAAAAAAGGAAAAAGATAACGAATGGTGATGTTTTGTTATAAATGTTCGATGTGATGATGCAAAAAAGAGGAGAAGGGAGGAAAAAACAGGGGGGAGAAGACAGAACCGGGTTCGGGGGGGGTTTTAGTGTCTAAATTATCGGAACCTCCAAAAACTATGACGGAATTAGTGGAATAGCACTGCAACTATGAGCTGTTTGGACTGGCTTGATTTAATTACCTTGGACGATCCTTCAGTCAGCACCAAACCCATCTCAGAATCAGGCGTGAGAACAATCGAGGATCGACCCTCCCAAGCCCCATCCGTCCATGGCGCAGTAAATCGTCAGGAGGGAGCCCTGATTGGTGATTTTCGGGCTAATTTTAGGATGAACCGGCCGGATATCCATCAGCCGTGCTCTGTGGCTTGTGTCGATGTCGGTTTCACCACAGAAGATTGAGTGTGAGAACCGAAGATAATGTCAGTCATTGCTGATAAATGGATGATATACTTATCCGTGGCAAGATCATTATCATCTGAACTGATCATCAGTCACAGCCCTACGGAACGTCAAGGCTTGGCAAAAGCTTAGACTACATAGAGACGATCTCCAACGGCAACGTTAACTCCGTAGGATCCCAATCAGCCTTACTTTTTCTCTGAGCTGGCATGTGGATTTCTATGCATCGGCCAGGATATTGCTTGACTTCCACAAAAAAGGGTATCATTCTCCTACATTTCTCCATTTTTTAAAATACACCAAATTCCATATGTCACTTCAGCCCCGCCCGTTGTCTCACCAGTCTTACAATCGACTGAACACCTTGCCAAAAATCTCACGAGCCTTCAATAGGTTCAGCAGACATATCCGCTCGTTGTCCAGATGAGCGGAGTCGCTTGACTGTCCGCAAGGCAGATGAGCTGCAGGAGCTCCAAATTCTTTCTCCAAGAATCTGATCGCTGGGATGGATCCACCCTCGCGGATGTAAAGCGGCTTACGTGGTTTGCCAAGCTTGGTCTTGACTGACAGAACTTCTTCCTCTTTGGACTTATCTGCCTTTTCGGGCTCTGGTGTAGCCTCACCTGATGAGGGCGACGTTTCGAAACACTCATCCCACGTCTCCAGGATGGCCTTCTCCAATGTCTGGAAGATGGCATTGGTTGGGTCTCCGAGCCATGGTTCAGCTCTGTTGTCGACGTTGATGGTGAGTTTGTTCTGTGACTCAAGCTGAGAAAACTCATTCTCAAGGAACTTGACGAGTGCTTCAATCACGCTGTCCACTTCTTGTCCTGGCACCATGCGCAGACTGATGTGGGAACTGGCATGACTGCTTACTAGACTTCCATCAGGACCAGAAACCTTGTATCGGTGGAGTGTCAGATTGGGCTCGCGCCACCTTGCCATAAGCGACTGTTTGAGCCTCTCCTCGGGGCCTTTTTCAGGATTACTGCGAATCAAGATCTGGGCAATATCATCGTAGCGCGCTTCCTCTTCAGGTGTCACCGGAAGAATGCCATCGTAGAAGCCGGGAATCTGTACCCGGTTGCCAGGGCCCTTGAGCTTGCCAAGGATCTGAGTGAGATCTGAAAGAGGCTCATTCATCATGTACGAGCCGTCGACACCCGAGTGGATATCTGGACGAGGTGCGTCAACACAGACAGTTGTGTGCAAAACACCACGAAGACCGTACGTCAAGCACGGGACCTCGTCGTCTAACCAGTAACTGTTGGCAAGCAAGATATAGTCAACTTCGCCGATCAACTCCTTGTTCTTCTTGACAGCTTCCTCAAAGCCTAACGAACCAAACTCTTCCTCACCCTCAATGAGGAAGATAACGTCGTTCTCTAGTCGCTGGCTCTCCATCAAATCGGTCACTGCATACAGCGCAGCGATGATGGGACCCTTATTGTCACTGACACCACGACCATACAGGTAACCGTTAGTTCCTTGCATCGTGAATGGATCAGTCTCCCATTTGCCTTTGCGGCTGTCGGCAGCGACAACATCATAATGGCCGTAGAAGAGAATTCGCTTTCGCCTCTCAGCAGCCTCCTTCTTAGCTGAGAAGTGGGCGTAGACGACAGGGTTGTGATGCTTCTCGGTGCTGAGTAACTCAACATGACCACCGAGACGTTTGAACAGCGCACCGAGGTAGGTAGCTCCCTTGCGACAGTCTTCCGCAAACTCGGGGCGAGAGGAGACTGTCTTGTATGACACAAATTCTCGCAAAGAAGACAGCAAGAGGTTGTCTGAAGCCTGTGATACTTCTTTCTCTTTACTGTTGCACTTATCGGTGTCAATGGACCAAATCGAGATATTGTCATCGTTGGCACCAGTGATGAAGTATTGCTTGTTCTTGTAGTTCGTGACCGCCGATGCAAGAACCTTGCCCTGATGAGCTTCCCATCTCAGGAGGCACTGGTATTTCTGGGGAACGGCTCCGGAGGATGCATGTTGGTATTTGCCGTAGTGGGTGGTACTGTATTTCTGGAAATTGTTAGCAAAAAGTTGTGCCTGGTCGATGAGAGTACTCACGCTGGCCCAACCATTAGTTGCAGCAGTCCATAAATATCCCCAGCCCATTTGTATCGACATGATGTCGCAGTCGTGAGCCTTGATAACCCTCAATCGCTGCGCAGTATCGAGATCCCATAGTTCAACGATACCGTCAAGCTTGCCAGCGTACAGGAACGAGCTATCGAGTGCGAGGGACAAGACTGACTCGCCATCATCTGAGCCCAGTGTCATGATCTCTTGAATACCGCCGCTAAGCTCCTCATCATCCTCAACAGTATGCCCGAGGCTCCAAAGCTTGATTGTGCCGTCACCCGCACCAGAGATCAAGACATCATCGTCTGTCCCAACATCGACTGTTGGTCCCTTAGCCATGAGCATACAGTACACATACCCATAGTGGGCAAAGTTTCTAACGCAGCCTGAATGCATCTCGAGAACAGTGTGTGCTTTGGGTATCAACCCCCATCGATCGTCGTTTCGTCGAGGTGTACTTGCGCCGCCACCGACAGCTTTAGAGTCGAAGAAGCGATGGTTTCGTCGATCGGGATGCTGCTGTGACTCGGGGGACACACGAGCTGTAACGTCGTTAAGGCCAACCCATTGAATGGTGGCGTTTTGTGCACCAATGTATAATGTCTCATGTTGGGGGCTGTATGCGGTACAAAAGATATCGCCGACATCGTAGGAGCCGTAGATTTCGTAAAGTCGAGTCAAGGTGCTTGGATCCCAGACATTGATGATGGGATCTCCAGCGCTGGAAAACAGGAGTTCCGCATCAGGCGATAATGATAAGGATAGGACACTACGCTTGTGGGCTTGAACACGGCGGACTTGGCGGAATGTGTCAAGAGACCATGCTACAATCTCTCCGTCTTGTGTACCGGCGTAGATCGTCTCATGCTGTGGACTCACGGCGAGAGCGAGGACGGTGCTTGTATGGGACAAAGAATGGACGAGGTCGGGGCTTGTGGCAGGATCTTCGGGGGCTTCGAGGGGTGAGAGAATCGGAGACGAGGGACCTGGTGACATTGTCGGTGATACCGTCCGTGAAGGCATCGTGAGGGTGTCTGGAAGCTGCTTGTTAGCTTGGTGGTCGGAGCAGCGGTGGAGGATCTCGAGGGAGGGGCAGACAGGGGTATCGAGGAAGAAGAAAGCGTGCTAAATGATTGCTTGCGAAAAGACAACTCAAAACGAGAAAATGCGTACTTGAGGCAAGAAACGTACACTCTTGATTATCACCAACTTGATACAATTATTTGTGGTGTTGTGGATAAGCAAGATAACAAGAGTCAGCGCTGAAGCTCCAGCGCCGAGACCGCTCAGAAATTCGGCCAGGTATGACGCGATTGCGCAATCGCCAAACCCAGGGTCTCTCCCTATTCTCCCTGCCAAAAGTCCACGAAATGAACCAAAGCTTCAAAAAAGCACAGACAAAGCCGCTGAGCCCGATTGTGTCATTTTTGGTGAGCATTCGCAATTGAACACTCTAGAGTGTTGAGAATGTCTCTCAATTGCTGGTTATCATGGGCGACTACGCCACAGCCTTTTGTCATGTTGAAGCGTTTATTGGATGATGGATGAGAGCACAGCCACTTGACCAGCCTTGCGGGATCAATAGCCACACGATCCGGTGCCCCGTAAATCGGCACTAGCCTTTCGGGGAATATTGTTGATTGTAAGTCAGAAGAGAGGCTTGAAGACTTGCTCAAGGCGTGATGAGAGTTCTGAGGATAGAAGAAGATATTTGGGTAGTTGTTGAATGGTTCCGGCCACTCAACCTTGATTGAGTATGTGTTGGACAATGAACGAGCGATGAAGAATATTATTGAGATAGAAGGGACCTTGCCTAATTCGTCTCAAGTGTCAACGATATGAGAGCAGCACTTACCATCGTCAGAATTGACCAGCAATTCCACAGCCTGTCTCTTCTCATACTCCAATATCTTTGCACATCCCCTACAACCACCACCATTCATCGAAGAGTCAAACATGATCACGACGCTCATAACAGCAGAAAATGAAAAGGTCTTCAGAAAAAAAGATCAGTTAATAAAGAGAAGGAATACATGTAGGAAAAAAGGAGTAAGATAAGACAAGACAAGATTCTGCCCCCCAACATAACATAACCAGGTGACCTGTACGACCTGTACTGTATACGTGTGCGCGTCTCAGAGATACAAAGCAACAAAGAGACATTAGGCTCACCGATATTTTAGGCCACCCCTGATCCTGATCCTGATCCTGAGCGTCTTTCAGCCCGGCTGCGGCTTGACATGGGTCCGGCTTTTGGCGATATCGGGGGCGGGACGGACGGGAGCTGGCCTAGTTGGGCTGGGATAAGGGTGCATGCGCTGAGCCGTTGCATCGGGAGTGAGTATCCTTGCTATGGTCACATTTAGGTCTTGGCTGGCGATTTTGATCGTTTGATGTGCAACTAATTATCTGTATTTCTATCTAACACTGTATTCTTCCATTCTGTTCTATCTAACCCCCAATGTAATAAATTCCTGTCTTACATCAGTCGCGCAATGAGGCCTTGCTCACATCATATCTATTCCCATCCCCTCCGGCCATTGGCGCTTCCTTACCCCAGATTTCATCTGGCACCAATGACACGCAACTGTGGCACAACACTCAGGCTTTAGCACCCTCTCTCGTCATTAATACGTTTAATCCATCGCACGCTCCATTACCAGCACAAAGATGACGCATTTTAATCGTGTTGTGACTGCTTGAAGGACTGTCCGTGAAAGGCTAACTTGTTGGCCCGACCAGTAATCTATGAGCCTCACATGTGCCTTGTATATCATGGCTGAGGCCCCTTTGATGTCTCCAACTCCGAGACTGTCATGAACCAGACCTCATGGGTCACTTGGTCATTGATTCCTTGCGCTGCCCGCGTGCGTAAGTTCAAGATATATCCAAAGGGCATGTATGGCCGCTTCCTCATTGGTATGGAAGGTGGAGGCCTGCCCGAGGAGCTTGAAGGATAATAAGCGACAACGAAAGGAAAGAAGGAGAATAATCCGTGAGGCTCAACATCAGAACATAACGTATAAAAGAGTAATTAATGGGCTATCTATAGGTCAATCCTAATATACTTACTTGTGTACTCCATGCTTTCGACCAAGGCTAGCGTCAATGAGCTGACCTGCCATGGTCAAGTTGAATTGTTCGCACAGCCCGACCAGGATACTTCAAGGCGCGAAACGAACATATTCTTTCGTCTTTGGAAATCTATTCAGGGCGTAAAATGAGTGTTCGGCATCAGGGAGAATACCAACTTTACTTTATTGAGAGGTGAAAGCAGCCCAGTGAAGAGCCGTGACGTTGTAGGGGGTATAATGACAATCTGAGTACATCATTCCTCCTGGTAAACCAAGAATGCTTTCTTCTTCTCTTTGTAGCACCCAGCCTTGGAGGATATGATGGCCCACTAAGCCACCATCTCTTTCCAGGCCTCCTTCAACGTATCTCCAGATAGGTTCGGGAGTCCGCAACTGTTCCTGTTCGCGCTGAGCCCGGTGGTGAGTACAAAGGAGCTGGATACTAATGAGCACTGTGGCCTCTGCTTTTGATGGGGGGCGTTTTACCTGGCACTAGGAGGTATATATATGACACTGCAAGACTTTGTATGAGACCAAGGGGTCATACTGCACATTGGTCATATTCTATCGTTTGAACCCCGGCATTGTCATTCACACCTGGCAGAGGCAAGGGCCATGATGATTTCCATCAAGCGCTTCATTCAAACACTAGACGAATCCATCATATCTCTGGAAAGAGTGTCCCCGAGGATCCTCTATGTGGTATAAAAGGCGCGGAGATTTCTCTTGTGTGCGTATCCTTCTGGGATAGGATGAGGTCCATGTCTTGTTTGTTGAGCATTTGACGTATACTACTTATACATTTATGACGGGTGTGTTGATTACTGTCCCGATTTTGGCGACCAGTCAGCGGTCAGAACATCACCAGCGAAGTTGTGAAGATCATGCATACATTCTGCTCGGCTTCTCGTTCCAGAAGTGTCTATTTCCATCGTATTTAGTTGAAGCCACAGTCGGATTGTTCTGGCGAACATTCTATCGCCGTCCACCATCTGGATCATCGACTTTCGAAACTCCTATTGGGTGTAGCAGTAACAATTAGGAGATGCACTGACTGGAACCAGTACGTTCCAAGGGATCTCTGTTGTGGTCATGCTGAACCCCGAGCCGTTTGGGGGTACAGCGAAGATGATGCTCAGTCGCCCTCGTGGCATCATCCTGTAGGCCTCTAAGAGGCTCTCAGAGTTGTCGATTCGATGATCGCGAACTCCCACAGCTGACGGGTCGACTAGCTATATATATATATGTATATCGATCATAAGCGCATGTCTAACGCTAACCTTCTGACAGATATAATTGTACGGTTTTCCTGCTGGCCGAATGCCCTTGAGACCTTTTTCTCGCAGTCTTAAAAGAGAAACAGTCTGTTGCCGTGAGGAGTCATATACTTACCAACATGAAAGCGTAGGTAGGGCCGGCGGCACGGCACTATAATATGTATATATATATTCATTGCAGTTGAATAGTTGGTCAAGGTAGACTTGGTGTCTTTCTAAAGCGGCGATTGCTGTCGGTCTTCTCATCGTCTCTTTGAGGTGTGGTATACCCAATGACTTGCGGCATTAGGGACTCGCGATGGCTAGATTCGATCCGCCTGCGTGCATCAATGCTCACCATAGTATGCGCGGCTTCTCTGGTACCGGCGTCTCCCGAGAGCGAAGCCAGGTTCTTATGGATGTGGCATGATAACGACGGGAAAATAAGTGATGGCGGTTGTGAAGGGGAGGATCATTATACCCTTTTGCGTGGTTTTCGTTCTTGACCACAGTTTAGTGTGTAGTCAGGAGAAGGACTCAAACTGGAATGTTTTCTAGTCTATCTCGAAATAAGTCGATACTGTTCTTTTCTATCTGCCCCGAAATCCATGTGCTTTTTGGGCAACGATGGTGTCTGAGAATCATCGCAATTGTTACTCCGTCGTTGTTCTGAAGGGCGAAGAACCGGGACTGCTTAAGGTAGGGCATATTGTACCCTCTTTATGAACTAAGGAATCCCCTTTCAGAGCGATTGATCTCTAAAGAAATGCGCTTTCGTCTGTATCATTTGCAAACCTGTGGCAGTGACCCTTCGTTCAGCTGTGCTAAGGGAAAACGCCTGTTACTGTTAAATAAAGGGCTTTAACGCAGTCGTTGAGTCTTTTGATCGACGAGATGGAATGTATCGGTTAAGTTCTTCTTGATACGCTGCGAATTCTCGTCATAAAAAAAGAATTGATGAGGCCGGCCAACTCTTCTATGATAGTTTCCTCTACTCCGCGGCATATGCGCGGTAACTCTCTCTTACCCCCTTTAGAGTTATCGGTCTCTATTCCCTTTTTGAGATCCATTGTGCCGCAGCTGTTGATGGCCGCTTCGTGTACCTCGAGTGAGTCGACGGGATGTAAGGGCTGGAAGTTATTGGTACGTGGACTAGACGTCCAGCGTAGTGACTGCGGCAGAGACCCTATCAAAGGGTAGTCAAGGTGGAGCTGTCGAAGCATATGTGACATACCGAGCGAACTCCACACGCTTTCCTATGCTGACTTTCGAGTTACAACCGGACCGACATGTATATAATGCACCGTTGAGCTCGAGGCAATAAATTATTCCTATCGTATAGGTAGCAAGATGATATCTCAGGTAATTGGTGAAGTCAGAACCCGTTGGGGAGTATGCTGTGAACTCAACCTTGTGATGTTGTCATGTATGTTATTGACACAAGGGAGCAGCAGACAATATGCCCATGCCTTCAAAGACGTACAATGTGTTGAAGAGTCTCTGTGGAATATTTCCATACTTTCCAGTTGCCAGAAATACATTAGGGTTACCAGTAAGAACCATGCATGGAGTGAGGTTCTGTCAACGAAGAACCAGACTGTGTGCTTGAGCAGCTCGTGAATAGAGCACATCTCCTTGGCAGCACGTATCTGGGCCTCACGCTGAACAAGGCGGTCGGTCGTCAGGATACGACCATCGAACTCGTACTGGTATGTTCGTTCGAAGTGCATCTGGCGATTGGCGTTGCCGTCGCCGACTTCTGCGATCGCGTTGCGGGACTTGACGACGACAGTCCAGATGGTTTCTAACCTGTCCTCCAAAGCAGGTATGTGATAGTACGGGTCGTTATCGCCCTTTGGACCCTGCATAAGGCCGTTTAGACATAAATGCTGTTTAACGCGGTAAATCTCGCGCTGAATGAGTCACCTAGGCTGGCACAATATATCAGAAGACCTGAATCTCTTGAAAGTGAATTATGTATCGACTTTATCTCATCTGTCGTCTTATATATATAACAGGCATGAAGTTTCGTCACCAGATAATCCCTCTGGATAGTTAGAGAATGAAAGTGGTGGTAAACCTGATGTCTGCATCCCTTCTCTTTACTCATCTGGCCTGTTACCGATATGTTGGTCGATAGAAGGACGTGAGGCTGAATGATCAACTGATTGTTGATATTGTGCTTATGAACAATGGCGTTGATGTTGTTGAACTCTTCCTGCACCGTATCAAGGATATCCTGAGGTGCAAGGCGTAGTGAAGACCAATGTGGCTGGATCGTTGAGGACTTGCGCAACCTGATCTTATTTTTAAGGGAGCGGTTCCAAGATTGGCCTTGGACTTGGACTTGGGCTTTGTGACCCGGTTCTTCACTTGCTTTTTATCTTTCAAGTCCAGAGATATAAGGACGTGTGTGCCGTCATCGGCGGCCGCTTCTTGTTGCAGGCTAGCAAATGCGATGTAGGCTAGGTCATCCTCATCTCCTTATGCACTTTGGAGAGCCAGCTAGCAACTTAGTCTTGCCAGGTAACGTCGGAAGCACTCGCCCCTACGACGAGCTTCCCTTGAACGCCATGGGCCGCTGCGGTGGCAGGCGTCGTGAGATGCGATGCAGGACACCTCAACGTTACGTCTGCAATGCAACCCTTTCTTCCCAAGATATTTGAAGTTGGTTATCATGAGATATTTATAACTTTAATTGAAATCTTGTGAGTATGCCACCTTGACAACTGTGGCCAAGTATAGCAGTCAAGCTTGCAGCCGCTCAAATAGAAGGGTGCCCGACGTTACACCCCTAAGCGCGTATGCTAGACGTTATATAGATATAAAATGCTTGCGGAGGGGTCCAAGCAAGAATACACAGCCATTGAACGCCTGGGTCATGTTTGTATATGAATGTTGGATTGATACTATAGATGATCATTTTGCCATGATGAAGACTGGGCCTGTGGGGTATCAAGGGCGCTGAATATGGAAAATAGGCTGCCTCCAGTTGCTAGATTTCCTGATGCCTTCAGATGTAAGGCTGTTGAGGAATGCCTTGGCCTGGTCTGTCGTCATCCGGGGAGTTATATCTTTATCTTCGGGGAACTGTGGGAATTTATACTCGTCGTATTTTTACTTCAGCTTATAGGAATTTCCGTGCGCGACCGACGGGCTACCCTCGAACACCTCGTAAGACGTCTCGTGGATGACATAGCGGTCCTCTTCCAGTCGATCGGGCCTAAGGTGGTCTTCGAGCTCGTTTGCCGGGTAATCGGGGTATCGAAAGTGCCTTGGTCTGGAAAATCGGGGTCTTCGTAGAACCGCTTAATGGTCGCTGTCATCTTTGGTCCCATTTGTTCTGGCTCATGTGGAATGATCCCTCTGAGCTGCTGGGACGTCGGTATATGCCCAGACATTCAGGCAATATAATGCCCATTCAGTTATTGCGTTCTAATCTTTTCCCTTTGCAGAATAAAAGTTACAGACACTCAGTATAAAGACTCGAAGGGTTCAACGACCGGAATGTTGTCGCTGAAAAAGGTCCGATCTTTATCAGAACAATTGAGGGGAGCTACAATCGTAGACGATACGCGGCCTAGAGTAACCGCATGATCGGAGTCGCTACTCAGCGAGGCTCCGTTCAACTCCCGTTCCATCATTCATACATTGAAAGGCTGGTTCCAGTCAGCTTTCATTAGTTCACACAGTCAGGCAAAAGTTATCGTGCTGACAAGAGGTTGAGGGCACCCGAACTTGACATCGCGATGGCGTGTTCCGAGTTCAAGGGGCTCGGTAACATATCGCATGCTTTATTAACCGAGCTGTCGTCGAAGAAGTCTCGATCCCAGTCGAATTTTGTGTGTGTGTTCTTTCTATCATCGTTGTCTTTCGGCAGAACTCCATATTGGATTGTCGCAAAAATCTGTCACCACAGCTATATATAATTCTTTTCAATTTGACCAGCATTGGCTAGGTTGTGAGAGTTCGTGCTTTGAGTGTCCTTGCATATATGCTGATATATTCTTGTTCTATCCCAACTTTGGAGACCAGAAGGCTTTGGGTACTGTGCTGTCACAATTGATGCACTCGATCTTCTTCTTGTGGCTTTGATGGGCAAGACTCGAATCCCTTGCTCTAGCCCTCATTTATTATCTAAGACAACAGATTTCCGCCTGGATATAGATAGGTGCCGGATTCGGAGGGCTGTTGGTACCCAAGACATCGTATGTGATCGAAGAGCAAGGGTGACGAGAGCTGTCTTGTTGCTGACCGTGATACTGGATCTGGATCACTTCAAATCCTTCGTTGGGTGACGAATTCTCTCCAAGAAGAACATGACAACCCTTGACGCTCGCCTGGGGAGCCCCTTATCATGGCCTGGAGTAGCATAATCATCTTTGTCCCGGCCAGCTACTCGCATTGCTATGAAGAAAGGCTTGTCTATCCTTCCTCGCTATCTTCACCGTCCCCTGTATTCGCAAGATGTAAATCATTGAGTAGTGCTTGAAATTGGGTCGGCATGGTGTCACTGGGGATGTAATAAGGTTGGCTCCAGGTTCTTCCAGCTTTCTGACTTTTGCGTCGATCTCGGGCTTGGCATCTGTTGGGGGCTTGATGCTTTTCTTTTCTTCCAATGCTTGGTGTGTCGTCATTGCCCTGCTCGCTTGGCTGGTACTCACTACCATCATTGTTAGTGATGGTGCGGCAGGCGTCAGGCGTTCAACGTCTTCTCGAACACGCTGGGCAGCGGAACGAGTGAACGGGTCAAGACGCCTGCGCGAACTTAGTGGTCCCATACACCACTGGGACTAGTCATGCGCTGAATTTTATTTATATCATATGAGTTTCGAAAGGAGCTGCTGACCATATTGCATGGCTAGCACTCCAGTCTCCCGTTGTTGTTGATGCCTGTGCTGCGTTCAAAACCCTTAAGGCTCCAATGTTAGTATACTCATGAAGGCAAGTAATGGGACAACGTACTGATGCAGACAGAAACACCTTATCTTAGAGGGTCGTTTATATACAGCCCGCGACACACTCGTCTTCTTTGTGGTTACTCCGTCATCTCTCGAGCCAACTCTGCCACCATCGAAGAGATGAATGTTAGCCATGAACGATGGTTTGAGAAACAGGTATGGGTCTGCCTGAGATATTCCCAAAAGATACTGATGAGGGATCTGTATGTCGGGTTTACATTGCCTCATCAATGAAATGATAGTTTAGTATATATAATAAAGTTGCCGTTAGTGATGAAGAAGAAAAGGTATCGGGGAAGAAGGGGGGGGTTATACTTGTACCAGGACACGTGCAAACTCATCCATTCTATTCACAGGATGACAGTTTTCAACAACGCGCCATCTTCAAGGCATTTATCTAAATAGATATACCATTTTGCACAAAATATAATGATAGACAAGATGACAATCGCTGAGTAAATGTCTCGTTTAGCCACCTTGGAAGAAGCCCAGACAAAGATAACGACAACTCCGATATCATCATCACAAACTTCGCGAGTACAAGGCACTAGTTATCTACTGTACTACCAGAACTACATGTTTGGCCAAGCATCTGTCTTATAAGGCGGTGCTTGAGGTCAATTGATTCGCAAGCGTGAACAAGCTGCATTACTGTTGAGGCAACACTGCATCCATCAAGCAGCGGCATGGCAAAGTTTGCATAAGAACGCTTCGTAGCAATCCTCGCTCTTACTAAAACACCAAGTACTTTAGGCAAGCTAGCTTGGTCCAAACTTGCTTTCGGCTGTGAGGTCTTCGATGGGTTTCGGAAAGCAATGGACAACATCGAGGCAAGCGGCAATCTTTGCTCACCACTATAGTCATGATTGGACCAAACTATAGTAAACATCACAAAGGAAAAGGCAATCAACCATATGCTGTTCTTTTACCAATTGCGACGAAGCAACAGTCACGCAATGCAAGCATGTTAGCGAGGCCAACGCATCCGCCGTCAATCTGCATGGTGACACTTCACATCTCGCTTACAACCCCCACCAAACCTGATATCATCAAAAGGGCACGACAAAACTTCACAATCTCTGGAAAGACACAATTTAACAATCCAAATAAGAAGCATCGGCTTCTCATGTATTGATATACAACCCCTCAGGGCTACCTAAATACAAACAACTCTTCCCAAAATCCCAACCCAATGCAAACAGCTCCGTCATCTGTCTTCCGTGCGTCATGCAATAATTCCACCTCCACTCAAGCGTGTGCAAGAGCATCTTTCATAGTATTCATAAATAAAAAAGAAAAGAAAAACAACCAAAAAAAACGAAAGGGAATAAATCGCTGGTGGGAAGGGCATTCTTCTTCGCCCATCCATGATCTGTACTTGAAAAGAGGAAAATATCCGTAATGTAATGTAAATCTTTGTCTCGTCTACCGTAGATGTTGGCATCCACCGGTCTTTAAAATGCGCCAGGGTAATATGCAAAAAGAGATGAAATGGAAATGTGTAATATGAGGGGGTATTAAATCCCGCGAGATCGTTATGCCATGACGAGTGAGCGCTCCTTCTTCTCCTTGTTCTTGAAGAGGGCCTTGAGCATGTTGCTGTTGTTGCGGTTGACCTTGGGTCGTACAGTGACTTGTGATTCGTCGTCTCGTCGGCTGCTTCGGCTGTCGATTGACCTCGTCTCGATCCTCTCGGAACGCTTACTCCTTGATGAGCGATGGCTACGCTCACTGTCGGCGATGCTCTCTGCGTAATCCTCACGTCGGGTACTCCTGTCGTCATCATCACGACGACTCCTGTGACTGCGATGGCTACGGCGGCTGTCGTCTGTTCGGTGAGTCTTGTGACTTCGGGAACTCTCATGTGTTTTACTTGTTCTTGTGCTTCGACGGGACTTTGTGTCGAAATCGTCTCCTCCATAGCGACTTCTTGTCTCCCTGTCGGCCAAGGGTGTGATAAGCTCCATGTCGACCTCACTCTCATCCTCTCCATATGGCACAATGCCTCTTCTCCAAGTCTCAATTGAACTCAAGTCGTCATCAAGGATGAGAGCCTCGTCAACACCTGGGCCATACTCAACACCGTACTCGCTCTGGGTTCGCAGAGGTGCAGGTCGGTCCATAGGAACACCGTCATAAGCTAAGGCCTCCCGCGCCGCCTTCTCTTCCTTCATTCTCTGGAAGATCTTCCATCCTCCAAAGCAGATGACCGTGACACCAGCAGCGATACTTGTGCCAATCAAGAATTGCGGGGACGATAAGAGAGAAAAGACAGCTGGCGATCCACTCTTGAGAAGACCCAGAAAAGCGGGCGATGTCTTCTTGACCATCTTTGACAACTCAGCAAGCGAGAGCGCAACGGCCGCCGCGTGGTCTGGGTTCTTCTGGAGCTCGGCCATTGTGGTTGTAGCCGAATGGTGGATACATTTGGCTTCGGTTAAGAGTCCCTCGACGCGGTGAACAAGACCCATGGCCTGCTTCTCATCGACGTATTGCGGGTCCAGATCGGTGCGGTCCTTCAGATCGGGAGGAACGCTTCCATACGCGAGGTCCATGTCGATTTCCTTGCGCGGCCTCATCTGTACTAGTTCTCCGGTCGATCGGTTTCGGGGGACCATAGGGCCAGCGCCGTAGGCAGAGGGAGCCATGGCGCGCTGGGGCATGGCAAGCTCCATGGGGATCTCCTTGTATACAGTTCGGGTGGGAGCTTTGCTGGGAGCTGTGGCGGAAATTTCGGTGTGTCTCTCGAGGTTGTCAAGAGTCAGCGCACGGCGGCTGGCAAAATCCTCTCGGGGGTGTCGCGAGTGGACGCTTCGCGATCGGCGACTGCGTTGCGAGCCAGCTTCGCTGCGCTGGTCGCCGGCGCGAGGAGGATAATATCGGGAGCGGTCATCGTCAATGTACATTTGCTGTTGAGGAAAGGCTTGAGGTTGAGCATTGACGTCGAAGGATTGAGAGCGCTGCACACCCTGCTGGGCTTTAATCTCGGCCTTCTTGTCTTTGTAGTTGCCCTGAGCTTCCTTGAAGATGGAAAAGAGCTGCTTGCCCTGGGAATTGTTAGCCAAGGTTGGGAAGCGCAAGCGCAAGGGGACAACGGACGGTCTTGATAATCTTGCCGGAGTTGTTAACAATGGTGATTGTCTGTTCGAGCGCCATGTTGGGCAGCGGTGTAGGTTTCGTAGTCCTGCTCTAAGTCGCAAAGCTGCGACGAGGTGAGAGCAAGAGCTGCAGATGCGCGGGATATATGTCGAAGGGAGGAGGCCAGCTCTCTCTATTTGTCTGTCGGAATGTCTATCTCTGGTTCGTAATGAGACAGACAGACAAGACAGGACAATATAAGGAGCTGATGCTTGCCAATGCGACAGACTCAGACCGCAACGAAGTTGACGAGGTAGGTAAGGTAGATACAAGGACAAGGGCAAGCACGAACAACGCCCAGCCCGTTCTTGAAGGATACGATCCGATCAAGGACTAGGATCCCCTTTACAAGAAATAGGGAGCGCGATGGAATAAATGATTCACGCTTTCCCGGTCCCGCGGTGGGAATGGATGAGCTGAGGTTGATCCGCAGTGGGGGTGAGTTTGAGAGATCAAAAAGTGGGCGGGGGGGGGACACAAAGATGAGAAATGGGTAATCCGAAAAAAATATGAGGTCGGTCAGGTTCCTTGCTTTGTACCGGTATAACCACTGAAAGAGGTAGCCCAGAGCTTGCGGTACAGCGGCCTCCGGGGGTTCAATTGCAGGGGACTAGCTCGCTGTGGCTCGAGAGACGGAGCACGTAAGGTAGTTTCTAGGCGGTGGCGCCGGGGAACAGAGAGTTCGGTCCACTTGATGGAAATGGACGAGAAAAAAAAGGGTCTGTCTGGGAGGGAGCTGGAGCTGGAGGGGAAAACAGGTGAAGGTGGAAAAGCTAAGCTTGTTGGAGGCGGTGGATTTGTCGGTGAGGAAAAACCGGGAGTAGAGGGCAGGGTAATCCCAGATTTGAAGAGTAGGACAGAGGAGAGAGGATAAAGTAAAAGGAAGAGGATGGGGAAAAGGGGTTGATAAGTGGTTATACAGAATTGGAATGTATCAAATCAAATAAATCCCCCGTGGGCAGATGGACATGCAGAAGGTGCATTCACATCAACAGGATAGGTACGGTACATCGGTTTGAGTTTGTCCCAAGGCGGCAGAGACCATGGATTGGATGGGTTGGGCTGTTAAATGACGGGATAACTGGACTATCGAGAGCGACTGGCTGATAGTGATTCTCAGGCACAGTAGCTGTAAGCGAATAGGCCCAGAGTGTGACAAGCTGCACGATGATGAGGTCGTGTTGCAGTTGGATCCCGCATCGCATTGCAGATGGAGATTGAAAGATGTGATCAAGATATTGACTCAATCATCCGTCCATCTTTGAACACTACGGTATGATGAACGCTGCATCCTCACAAAAGCTCTCTTCCTCGGTACATATCGCGTTACTGTACTGTAGACTCAAACCTGAATCTCCAACACGATACCGAAATCACAGTCCCATCCTCTCATACCAGTTCTCTCGCAAGTTGACGCCCATATCGTCTCACCTCCATCACCTGGAGTCTCTGCCGATTGGTCCAAGAGCCCACCTCCTTCGTCAGGCGCCTGTGCATAGAATCCCAACAGGGCACATCCCTGTTTTTTTCGTTCCCTCTCGAGGCCCGCTAAGGCTCAGCGCGCGCCAATTCGCATCACACATGTGGTTTGTCTGGCACCCTATCAAATATTGACAGGGCGACGTTGACCTGCCCGCCTACGTAGGTAGTATCTAGTCTCGATACCGACAATTAGGGAGGAACTAGAAGCAGGAGAACCTGGGAGAAGAAGAAAAGAAGATGGCTGGTCCGGCATGCGGGGATGCGTTTCCGTACGAGACGAGATGTGAAGGGTTATGCTGGGCTGTCGATCTTGTGCTGCCAGCCTGCCAGGATGTTCCCTCTTGCGTTGGTCACGGGGATGAAAGAGAGCATGAATCTGAAAGTTAAGGTCAAGCCCAATCAATGCTGAGCCACACTTGGCCAACGACTTCTGTGGCTGAAGTTAGTCTCCTCTTCTCTTTGTCTTTCAGCTGGCCTTGTCACACTCCCCACGGTCTCGACTCGTAGTCAGATGCTTACAGATGAGTCTATCATCAGATATCTTTTTTGTCAAGGCCACATAAGCCTGTGGCAAAGCAAGGTCTCATTCATACTCAGCTCGAATAATCACTCACTGCCACAACTTCTCAAAAATAATACCTCGTCTCTGCCCAAAGAAACACATGGGTCGATAACAACAAACCAACCCAAGAACAGACAGACATGCTATGCTCGGATTGAAGCAGACGATGCCATGTGGCAGTCTCCCCAGGCTAGTCCCCTACGGAGAAAAAGGAAAAGCAATCATTAGTCTAGCCCTCCCGTGGCAGATCCTGCTCCTCCGAATGGTATGGGACTGATCGGCGGGCTTGGCTCACCCTAGACCTGCCTGAGTGAAATAAACAGGAAAAACTGCGTTGAAGGCCTCAAGACGGGATATGTTGTACTTAATTGCTGACCTTTGCTCCACTTGATGTCTCGTGTCGTGGTTCATTACGACTCTGTTTTATTTCAATAGCTCATCCTGTTTGTGGTGGCTTTTTTTAATGTTTCTTGAGTTGTCAGTCAACGTCAGGCTCTGGTCCGATTGTCGGGGTCCCCAAGATTTCACCCCGCAAACTTGAGCTTGTCTTGGCAAATACGTAGGTAATACTCAAAGTCAAGACGAGTTCCGATATGAACCGAGTCATGAGGGCTTTGTGAAGGTTACAGTTCTCATTGAGAGGGTAACTTGCAATAACCGGAGATGCTGTGTTTTAACGTTTAACACAGTAGCAGAGTAGATACCCTATAACTTGATACCGTTGAAGTTACGCAATCCCCTGCTTCATCGACTCAATCACCCCATTCAGCTAATCGAGCCCCGGATCTTTCTTAGCCCAGATCACGGACAGTCATGTCATCCCAATTCAGTCTCTAAAGCCCCAATTCGATTCAATTTCCCTAGGTCAACCATAGATATGACATCTAATATCCTAATCATCAACCATTGAAAAAAGCAAGTAACAATTCAATTCCCCGCGTCAATTCCGGATCTCCGTAGTGTCTCCACCAAATTATCCCGCACCGTCGGCACTCGTAACGCAACCTCACATCATCACATCAGTAAACCATGTCCTCAATATCCTCCCTCTGCGCCGCACTGCAGACCTCCACGACACACGTCGTAGACGGTCTGCGAAACTTCGTCACGTATTACCCGCAGGCGAGGCTGGACCTGGCTAGCTTGTCCCGGGAGCTCGCGGAGCTGCAGATGGTAGCGAGGCTGCTGCATCACAACGCCCAGGCTCTGGAGTCCGGAAGCGCGCCGCTGCCGGGAAGGTTGGATGAGGCGATCAAGGGGGTTGTTAGTGAGGCTGGGGAGTTGTTGGAGGAGGCGGATGACGCGTTGGATACGGGAAGGACGGCAGAGGAGAGGACGCCCTCGTGGTTGGAACATACTGCCGAGAGGCTGTCGCCGTTTGCAAAGCTGCTTGAGGGTTTGAGAAGTGCGATGAGTCTAGGGCTTGACTGTGTTTTACTGCAAGTTGACTTCATTCCATTTCATAAGATGTTCACTGACATTATCACAGAGCTATCAATTCTCAGCCTCATGATGGTGAGAGAGAACTTCCCGGCTACAGCAGCTCTCAGATTCTACAAGAGGCATCAACTATCCGCTCACGATTCCTCCAAGAGTCAGACAGCGAAGACCCTAGAGTTGAGAGCCAACGATCCATAATCACAGAATTCATCGACGCTACTCAGGACTTCATCTCTGAAAGCTCATCTGCTGCTCCACCACCAATTGATGACGCAGAGAGTCGAGACCACAGCAACAGCAGCATCGCTAATCCAGAGTACGCCCCCTCTCACAAATATTTCTCAGTATATTAACATTTCAGAACAATTGCGTCGTCTCCTCACTCAGAAACGAATGAGCCGCCTATTCCAGATTACAATGCCATCGGTATAACCTCTCAAACACCGCTCCGCATCTCACTCCGCCACCTCGCCAAGAAAGAACTCTCCAACCATGAAGTCGTCGAAACCGCGTATGTATCTCGCCACAACGCCCCCACAATCGCCATCTCAACCCTCGAGTCTCCTACGCGCTTCTACGACACAAGCGCCAATCAAGTTTCATGTCTCCAAAACCAGCACGGTGTTAACATGATCTTCTCGCGCAATGGTCGTCAGTGGGCATATCTTAGCGAGGAAGACGGCAAAGGTCTCAATGCGGCGAGTCATGATGGTATCAACTTTAAGAAACCGGTTGTTTACCTTGGTGACTACATCAATGGACGAAAAATCCCGGTTTGTAAATGGCCTGGTGGAAAGCCACTTGCGTTCTCGCAGGACGGGAATTGGCTTGCGGTGGGAAGCACGAAAGGTCGGGTTGGGCTCATGGACTGCAGTGCTAATGTCAACAAGGCGAGCGTTGTGATTCCATGTCATATGGATGAGGTTACACACGCTGTGTTCACACCAGACAGCAAGCTTCTCATCACACAATCTCGCGACGGCACGATTCGCATAACGAATGTGGAAACCCGCGCATCGATCGCCAAGCTCGAAACCGATACCTGGAAGAAACCTGTATTCCTCGGAACGTCGCCCGATGGAGAAGTCATCGTTTCGTTATGGGGCGATACGGTGTTCCACTGGAATCACGGCACCGCAGCCCTCGAGTCGTACAACCTCAGCGGGCGAAGAACACGCGAGGGCTGGCCCATTGCTGTATCAGCGGACTGTCGCTTCTTGTGCTGTAGAACAGATGATGGCGTCGATGTAAGTGATATGTACTCGGGAAGAGTGCTGTATACGATTAAGTTTCAGAGCGGGTTCGTCACTGCGGCGTCGTTTAGTTGGGATGGGAAATACTTGATTCTTGGAAAGGCGGCGTCGTGGATGGGGTTGAAGATGGGAACTTCGACTTTGGATGTTTGGGAATTGGTATTCTAGGCGTTTAAAATGGGCTGTAAGTTGGATATATGTACGCTACAGAGAAAAGCTATGAACCAGAATTTGACCTTGATATTTGTGCAAGTTTACTATTAAAGTCATTATTCATTGAGAGCATTGTCACACATGTGTACTCTTTACTCAACCTCCCTCCATCTCGCCTCAAGCATTTGTATCCTCATTAGAGGCCCTCCGCCCATGACCTCCGCCGCAGCCTCCCTCGACTGCCTATCGTACGAATACCCCTGCATGACCCATTCATTTGCATGTCCATACCCAGCATACGAGTTTCCAACAGTATAGCTATGTCCCATAGTAGCATCTTGAGCCCATCCCATGCTCTTATAAAACGTACCCTGTGTGCCCAACATCTGTGCCTGCATGGCTGCTATCTTTTGCTGATTGAGGATCTGCTCGCACTGCATGATTGTCTGTGTGTAAACGACATGTCTTTGCTCTGCGACGGCCAAGAGACCTTCTAGATCTCCAGTTCTACAAGCTTCTGTGTAGAGGCTTCTCATGCGCGGTGAGTAGATATCACACATACGCTCTTTTTCTGGCTCTCTCACTCCAGTGAGTGCAAAGCGAGGCTCGAGTGCTGTGCCCTTTGCAAAGGAAGCATAGCAGTCTTCACAGATCTCCAAGACTCCCCATCCCCACCATCGCCTATTCTTGCTGAAGTTCTTCCTTGGACATTGTTGAACATGGCCCCATTGCGCAGTCCAGTCAAGAAACAGCTTCCTGTCTCCCCAATTTCGTGCGCTGACATATGCTTCGAGAGCCTGAACTGCTCGTGGATGACCCAAGCTGAAGCCGCAGAGATACAATTCGTCTGGCTTGGTGCTGTTGTCTTTCATGAACCATCGTGCCCCTCCAATTGGTTTGATGATGCCTTCATAACACGCCGCGCATATTCCCCAGCCGGGAGGATCGTTGATCGGCGTGTACCACGAACTTCCTTTCGTTCCATCCCTGTTGCAAACAGGATACTTGTCCATTTCCCACGCTGCATTCCAAAAGAGACTTCTATCCTCATCATCCAGTGCCTGATGCATTGGAATGATGTGATTCAACTGTCCAAGAATACACCTGGTCTGGAAGTTTCCTCCAGTAACCTGCTGCCATTTATCTTGATCTTCAGAGGCATAGAAGTAGTCGTGGTAGCACGCTGCACATGCTTGTAGGTCACTCGGTCCATTCCCGGGCTTGTACCATGCACGCTCATTGGCGTTGATAGTGTCGATTTTGGGGCATTCCGGTATTTGTGCACGTTGGTTGAACTCTTGACAGAATTGGGCCCATTTGTTCTCTTTCGCATAGTCCATGAACTTGCGTTTGAGGAACCATACGCTTAGATCGCAATAAGCACCGCCTTCGTTGGGTAAGAGCTGATAATACTTGGCAAACGACGAAGTTATTAGACCATCCTCAAAACAAGCTTCGCAGATTGTCCCGTTTGGAATGTCAGCTGCTTTGTACCATGACTCTCCCTCGGTGGTGTTCTGTTCTCTGCAGTCTTTGATACTCATTCTCTTCCTCATAAACTCGATAAGCTTATCAAGACTACCAGACTCAACAGCTTCGGGGAGTAATGTATCTTTGATACGCCTGGTGTTGAATCGACATCTGCGCTTGTGTCCATCGTCGTAGAAGACCTTTCGGAATGAGTCCCTGAATTTGGTGTCATAGATAAGATCTACATAGCAGCAAGCACAAATGACGAACTCTGGTACAGCAGCGTGATAGAACCAGTGTTGGGGGAAGGATGTCAGTGAGCCTGAGCATTCGAGGCCTGCTTTTGCACCGCAGGCATGCAGCTGTGCTGGCTCAGGGGTTCTGACGCGAGGAGGCTTTGGCGCAGCGATAGGTTGTTGTTGTGGACTTTGAACAGGTGGTGGTGGTGGATATGATGGAATGTTTGCCTGTTGGGGCTGAGGACTTGCTGGAGCTGGTGCGTGATACGAATTACGTTGACTTGCCTGCTCCTGAACTCTAGGAGAAGGTTGTGCTTGAGGGCTCGGCGGTGGTGGAGGATAGTATGGTGTCTGCTGCGAAGGCTGCCCAGGAGGCACGACAGCAGGCGACAAATACCCACCAGACTGCGGCTGAATCGGAGTCGTAGCCTGAGCAGGAGGAGGTACAGGCGGAGGTGGTGGTATATAGCCCATTGAAGGACTAGAGGGCACTTGTGTCTGACTCTGTGGCGAAAGGTATGAATTCTGAACCGGCGGAGCTGCATAGGCTACTGGTCTTTGTGCAGAACTCACACTCCCAGCTGTAGAAACAGGTCTTCTCGGTAAAGGCGGCGCAACATCCTCAGCATCCGTATTGATCCTCGGCGGTAACGGTGGTCTCTCCCCCTCCTGTCTCTGCCTCTGTATCTCATCAAACAATCTCTGCTGTTCTCTCACAACTTCATCCTCCGCAAGCTGATAGTTCCTCGCCTCCTCAGCTCTCAACTTCTCTAGCTCTTGAGCCTGCTTCTCTTGCTCAATTCTCATGTTGGCGAGATCTTCTTTAGCCTTTCTCATTTGAGCTTCATACTCTGCTTTGTAGTGCGCTGCGAGACGCTCTGCTTCACGCCATTGGGTTTCGAGCTGTTGGGTGTGTGCTTGAGGGGGATATGAACTCTGAGGACAAGTTTGCGGAGCTGGTTGTGTTGCTGGCGGCGTGATGTGAGGCTGTGAAGATGTCTGAGAGGGTTGAGCGCTGGATGGACGATAAGGTGATGGCGGAGGGGGATATTGTTGCTGCTGAGGTTGGTACTGTGGTGTTTGAGGTTGCCCATATTGCGGTGATTGAGGCTGGTACTGAGTCTGAGGTTGTTGATACTGGGGCTGCCCAGCCTGATGCTGCTGTTGCCATCCTCGAGGTGAACCTCTCTGATATTCGCCCTGCTGATATCCTCGACTTGTTCCTTGTCTATAATACTCCGACTCTCTCTGCCTTTGCTGCTGCTGCTGCTGCTGCTGTAACTGAACCTGTTTCTTATACTCCTCTCCCACTTTACCAACAAAATCCTTTAACCAAGCCATTGTATCACTTCTTTAACCTTGAGTAACACAATGTCCAGGGAATGAGGGGCCCTGACTGCCTAAATACCCTCCCCACGTCAGATGTAGATGGGTTACAATAAAAACCGATCACGCCCTGCGCTGATCTGACCAGATGAGGCAATTATCGATCATAGACCATTTTCATCAACCTTTAGGTAAGTTTAGTATATCTCAGTAGGCCTTAAGACCAGATTATTTTGACGCCTTGGTCTAGAACTTGTAGCGTGTCTGAAAAGAATCCCATTTTAGTCTTTTTCGTTCCTTAGGATGCATCCCCCAGGCTCCTTACTTGGCGGAGCATTGTCTCCAGATCTGATCATATCAGATGCGCGCTTTTTATTGTAACCTACAAACAAGGATCATAAGCAAGTCAGCCTGGGACCCTTGCTTTCAGCTCGGTATCATCGGGACTTGGCCTTAAAGTTATCAACGCAGACTGTTTAACGAACAAGCTTATTTCCACCCTTCACAAAACAATTAACAGCCTTTTTATACTAATCGGCTCTCTATGTCAAAACTGTAAAATGTGCAATTGTCCCTGTATGCTTGCGATAGTCCATCTCCACACTCGACCCAGAAATCCATCGATCTTCATTCCTTGATCTTGAATGGCCAGGATCCTTCGTAGCCTGTATCACCATCAGCGGAACACGACCGCACCACGGAATCTACGAGCCAACGTTCACAAACATCACAGACTGAGACTCGACAAAGTGTACCAAATTCATTGACTCCTATAATTGCATGCTGAGCCCCTAAACATGGCTTTTGTTCATGTATCTTTCAGCTCATCGCGAGACAAAAGGTTGAACCTCTGTCTGCCCTGAGCCTCCATGACATGTATCAACTTCTGAATAAAAAACAATAGGTATATGCATGCATCCATCCCAATAGCAACAAACGCCTGCCCGCCCGGTTCATGCTGGTACTTCGTAACTATGTGTGTTGTTTATGCGTAAATGTACGATACCTCAACGCCGTTGTTTCATCAGTTACCCATGTGTAGAACAACCCGTTGCGAAAAAAAAACATATTGCCTATATGCGTGGTCCGTCATCCATTCATCCGTAATGTGATGTATTAAGCTTCTTCCTCAATCATTGCGCGAACCTCAGGTTCGTTGAGAAGGATACGCTTGCCGAGTTCCTCTGGTGGCTTGCCGTCTCGGACAGCTCCAAAGTCAAGAATCTGCATCATATTAGTACTTGTTACTCTTAAGTCATCTGCGCTGCAACATACCTCGACGTAGGTGAGTGAATCACGCTGGACAGCAGCCACACATCGTCGTTCGTCAAATTTGACTTGCCAAACACCACTGAGATCGCTCAACAAGTCCTGAACGCATTCGCCAGTTCGGACATCCCACATCTTGACCGTCTTCTCACTGCCACTAATAACTTTCCGGCCATCGTGCTGGAAACAGGTAATAGCCCCAGTATGCGCCATGAGAGTATTGCGGCATTTGCCATTTTCTGGATCCCAGATACGAAGAGTCGAGTCGGCCGCCGCCGACACCAATCGCTCATCGCGAAGGTCTAACAAACCGACGAGCAAACTGTGTCCCTCGAGAGTGTACAGACACGCGCCAGTTGCAAGATCCCAGATCTTGACCAGCGAATCCATCGAGCCCGAGATACAACGATTGCGTTCATGGTCGAGGACGACAGAGTAAACCTTTTGAGAGTGACCATGGAGCACATGGAGAGCCTCACCGGTGCTGATACGCCAAACCCGGACAGTGCTGTCATAAGAGCCACTGACGAGGGTGTCACCATGAGCGGAAATGGCGCGAACAGAATGCGTGTGTCCGGCCAACACTCGAATGAAGTAAGGGCAGTCGGACTCATGAGCTGGGGGGCCAGTCTGGATATATCGACGGGACCCAACCTCAGGAAGTCGCCAGACCCTGAGCTGACTGTCCCTGGAGCCGGTGATGATGAGAGGCTTCTCGGGCTGCATGATGGCCTGTCCACTGGAATCTCTCCCAGTCTCGGTGGGCATCAGGATTTGCAGGCAACGGACAGTACTAGTGTGTCCGTAGAATACCTGCTGGCAAAGGCCACGTTCGATATCCCAGACGCGAACAGATCTGTCAGTAGAGCCAGACACCAGCATGTTGCCTTCATACTGTAGTGCCCAGACACCACCTTCATGACCTTCAAGCTTCTTGCGGAGCTTGCCCGTCTTAGTATCGTAGATGTGGATGAGCGTATCGTCGCTACCTGTAATGATCTTGTCTTCGTCAAACTGGAGACACGTAATAACGTGACGAGGATGAGCTGCGAACGCGACGTGGCCAGGTTTAACCTCGCCGCTGGTCCAACTCTTACGGATCATGTGATGACGGCGGTAAAGTGACTTGTATAGATGAAGCTCGCGAAGACTGGGCAGTCCAAGCTGGGGATCAGGGACAGCTGTAGCGGCAGCATTTGCAGCAGACAGTGGTCCTTCCGACTTGTGTTGGCGGGCCTCGGGCTGCGACTTGTTCTCTTCACGAGCCACGGCTTCCTGCGCACTGGCACGTCGCTTAGATCGTTCGGCCGAATAAGTGTTGATCGCTCGCTTGCGCTTGGAAGCCCGAGACTTGGAGGCTGTCTCTTGTCGAAGAGTCCGGGTAAGCTCGTGCTCAGTTGAAGTCAACCGGGTTCGCATGCTCAAATCCTTTTCGTATCCATTTGCGCCAACAGGATCTTGCCAGCCCCAACCTTGGATAATGGCCTTCTGAAGTTCCCCAGGTGGGAGGGTGTAGCCATCTCTGTCAAACAGTTCCTTCCACCCTGTTTCATTACGATCAACAATGTTTCGCCAGTGCTTTGAGACTTGTGCAGCTCGACAAAGATCTCGGTGATCGAGATGAGACAAAACAGAATATCCAAGTTCCAGGGGTAACTGTCGTAAGAAATCACATTTGAGTGCTGGGTTCACAGCGTTGGCCACAACGCGGAGGGTAGGACGAGGACAACGGCGAAGAAACTGGTACATCATGAATGTCTTCATTTCGGTTTTCATGGAGTCGAATGCCTCGAGGAGTGTCTGTGTGTCGACGACTTGTAGTGAATCGACACCTTGAGGGGCACCATCAGTGCGAGCAAGGGCGTAATCATCCTGGGAATGGCCAGTACGAACGAGAGCAGTCAAGGAATCATCTTCCATTGGCTGTGATTCATCAACCCATCTTGAGGGATCTAGGTTCGAGGACTGGAAGCTAGGCTGTGTCTCATCATCGTCATCGGCAGTATGTAGCTGAGCGGCTGCCAAGGTAGGCGACAGTCTGGGACTAGGAAGACTAGCATCTTGGGCGGCAACGACATCGATACTGGGACGGGGATTAAAGGGACGGATAGGTTGTTGTAAAGATCCATCAGCATCAGCGAACGGTTCTGCGTCAGCATCAGTAATTGGTGGAGTAGCGACATTGCTGCTAAAGACAGTATGTGAATCACTCTCTACAGGGCTGGTGGCTTCGTAATGAGGGCTGACAGCCGAGGAAGATGCTTCGGGTGATTGATTTCGTTCATGTTGTGACGAGCGTCGGCGAGCTGATCTCTCAGCCGCACCAACGACTTCTGAAGTATCGGGAGTAGCAAGGAAGCCCCCAGAAGGCCTGGATGACCTCTCTCCTTGTCGATTCGAATTATGGGCAATGGAGCGACGAAGTTTATCCGATACGGCGTTCAGGGGAATGGAGCGACCAGGTCGTCGAGGGTTCGAAGTGGGTGCTGAAGATTCGGGGGAATCTATAGTGGTAGCTCTAGAAGCGCGGGAACGGCGAGGATATCCTTCTGAGGGAGATTGTGATCGATGCTTGGGTATCCGGCCGAGGTTGGACTCTTGAGGGGACTCGGTTTTGAGTTGAGTGGGGGTAGACCGAGAATTGCAAGATAACTGTGTATATGTCAGCATGGTCTGTTCTTCATAGCAGTTGCAGACAGTAAGTGGGGAGCATAACGTGAAAACTAACCTGATGATCCATCGGTTCATCTTCAACTTCATCGTCAGTCTCAATAGCACTTGGCATGTTATACGAGAACCGGATCAGTTCAGGGGGAGTAGGCTTCATAGCGAGAGGATACTCTTTTGTGTCTAGGTTCTCCAGAGGTACAGGGTCACGAACGAAGACCTGAGGGAACTTTCGCGTGAGACGAGTAGTGGTCGTAACAGTCTTAGTCTCGACACACTCGCTCACCTCGAGCTGGAAGCGGCGGGAGCGGTTCTGAGTCCCCTCGGAGATGTTGACGGATACTGTTTGTGAAGCTTTGGGGTGACGAGGCTCAAGAGCCTGGCTAGTTGCGGGGGATGGTGTCATGATGCGGTCGGTGTTTGTGTGTGTTTGTGTTCATCCGTCAAATGCACAAGGCTAGGGACGAGTTCCGATTTAGCAGTCTTGATGAGATCAGTATCAAGACTGGTTCCGGAGCTCCAAGGCTCGTAGTATCAGAGATGTGTTGTTGGAACAGCTAAGCTGCGCGGGGAACAAGAAACGCGAAAGAGGAGAAAGTGGTTTTGTTCCGGACATGCAGATGCTTAAGCGAAACTTAAGGTTGTCTAACGGCCAGATTTCGAAGGTTTGGTGATTTCGAGCCCTTACTCCACTGGCATCAGACTCTCTGGACTTGATCGAATGGGAAGACTGGTAGTGCCGGCAACTTCTGTGACAATATGGTCGTTATTGAGATATGTCGACAAGGGGGACGGATATCGACAACGGACGCGAAGGGCTTTCGATATGAGGCTAGCCTCAGGCCCGAGACCGGAAAGGGGACAACACGGTCGAAACGCAGTAGATCGAAGCTGATGGAGACGCGGAAGCCAGGGCGGCAGAACGAAGGGTCGTAAGGCTATCTGACTGAGCGAGCACGCGTGCACTTCAAGGCTGGGGAGGCAAGGGGAGTGTACAAGGGAGTGTGGCGAGGAGGGTGAAGAGAAAACGAGTATAATTAAGAAGAAAAACGAGACACGAAGTAACAAGGGGCAAAAGCAAACAAAAAAGAAACCGTCGCCCGTATAATTCTGTGTCTCTGGCCCTTTTCTGTCTTGGGGGGAAAGGGCTTCGTTTTGCTGACGAGGCTTTGGTGAGAGAAGAGATGTGGTGCAGGCTGATGTGATGGAGGAGTTGTTGGTCTCTGGTTCTCGGGCCAAGGTGGATATGGACTCTCCATTTTCACAGCTAGGCCCATTGGGGAATAGCCTGGCTGTAGACTGGTTGGCCCTGCGTGCTTTCCTAAGACTTGGACAGGGTCTAGCCGGTGTCACAGGGACCGTGATTGGGTGAAAACGTGGTCGTCTTTGGGGAAGGGGAACATGACACTGGACGAGTTAAAGTACCTCTCCGCACGAGTCCAATACGACTTTGGAGGTGATCGTGAGAAAGGGTACTTTTATGCACCTCGTTGCAACCTCATCACAGCAGCAGACGGAGTTCGAAATAGGGAATTAGGAAGGGACCGTCTGTTGGTGATTGTGCATCGCCCATGCCTACCTACCCGGTCTAGCGAGACGCTATTCGAAGCGTGCGTTGCCTTGGTCAAACCGGAACGAACCTGGCCCTACGACAAGTACGGTTACGGCCGAACCACGGCTCCGGCGACGCGACGGATGCTGGAATGAATTCAAGACAATGGAGGCCCGGGACAGGCTCTGAGAGTTAGTCAGCCCTGAAACTTAATTTGACGCCTTGGTCGATTCGCAACAGGATTTCCACGGTCCAAATCGAGCTCCAGACTAGCAAGTCCCACTGAATCCTCCGTGCTGGAAATCAAGGCCCGTGATGGTATTCAGCCCAGGTTGCCTGTTGCAACCTCACGTGATATCTCCACGTCTGTGTTGGAACCCGGAGGGTTTGACAATGGCACTGGAACATTGGGGCAATGGATCAATTACACGAAACAATATTGGGTTTATACTGGGTTCTATGCAGCTTCTATCGTTATGCTTATCTCCGTCAAGGGATAACCCAAATGGGATCAAGATTGATCCAAGGGAGCAGTCCAATAAAATAGGAGATAATGTACAGTAGTAGCAACTCCTTTTCTCTACTCTGGATACTCGATCATGTTTTTCAGCTGGCCGAGGTTCTGCGACTTATTACCTGACGCCCCTTGTTTATATCCCATCCCTTCTTGAATCTATTCACAACAAACCTTCTCCTAACTCAATGTTTCCATGATAAATCATCATCCACCGTTCGCCGACTCCATTCCCGGCCATCCAATCCTTATCCACGGTCACCGCCGAGTCCTCGCCACACTGTAAAAATCTCACCCCCGATCCAGCCTCACGTGCTCTCCGATTCGGACTTAGTCAGCCTACCAATTCAGGCCTCCCGTCGGCTTATCCGGATTTCCTGTACCGGACGGGTACCGACATTGGATGCGGGGGTGGCCCGATCGGGGCTTTGTTGGGCGATTCGCCGATTCTAGAGCTGGGCCATCATGATGCGGTTGAGGAATGTTGGATCATGTATTGAAACAGACGGTGAGTTTTTAGTTGATTCAGGGGTCATTCGCTCCGTGATGTGTGTATTGTGATCCATTGTAAACTGATGTGCTAACCAAATATCGCTGACATTCGCTTTTTGTGGTATTCCCAAGATCGCATGATACGCCGTTATCATGATATCAATCCAAAGCCCTCGCTAACATCCAATCATTTCCAAATATCGACTCTCATCCAATGTGTCATGATATGTAAACTGGCATACGGCTTCCCAATAGCTCACTTTTACTCAGCTGTACATCCAACTTATTAAAGTCGTGCAACATTAACCAGCATATCATGCGGAAAATCAGCGTGCACCAAACATCATCATGCGAGACCTCCTGTTCATACAAAGCAGCCTCGAGCCTAGGTCTAGGCTGCTCACTTGCTAACGAATACGCATCACTCACAGCACTACCAGGTCTGCTAGACATGGAGGGACGGCCGTTGGCCATGGGTCCAAGAGGAATGTTCTCCACGCTGGTTTGTAGACGAGGGGCTGGCATGGGGGGAGGCGGCGAGGACGCCCGTTCAATCCCACGCATGCTGGATGCTTGGGTACGACCTGTGCCTGCGCGGCGGAAACCGTACCCTGCAGGGGCACCAACAAGGCTCGTTCTGCGATCTGTTGAACGGGCAGCACGAGGGATAACCTTCTCACGAATAACGTGAAAGTAAACTTCCAAAAACTTGTGCTGCCGCTCATCAGGACTGGCTTCGTGCATGTCCTCGAATCCGATGGGCGCAACTCTAGGCTGTCCATCCTGTCGCGTGTGTGGTGTAGCCGGACTCCATTCAGCGTGCAGAGATTGCGTATCGGACGAACGGTCTTCCCCGTCATTCAGTAGACGTAGAACTTCTTGGATGTGCGATCGCAAAACATCTTGGACCATTTCTCGTCGTTTCTTCTGTACCTCGGACTCATGAACCTTGATGCCCAACTGCTCTGCAAAAGGGGTAACAGTGCCGCTGGGTTCCTTGGCTGTCAAGATCTGATCGCAATCGTCGATGGCTTCGTGGAGTGCCTTGAGGGTACACATCTTCTCGGTTACGCTTTCGTCCTTGTTGAAGGCTAGAATTTGGTCGACATGCTTCTTAATCTTCTCAATAATGACGGGGTTTCGACGGGCTCCGGGCAGTGAAGTCGGAACCAGGTCCTCGTAAGCTTCCATCACTTTGACTAGTGACACCGACTGCTTATCCCAGCGATCTGATGTTGGGTTGGGAATATGGGTGAACATGCTGTTCTTGATGTGAAAAGTACGACTCAGCATACCGAGGATTTCGAAGGAGACTAAAACTATTAGTAAATGTATATCCAGCGAGGCAAAGAAACCCACCAGGAAACAGATGCGATGTATGCTTGCCAGCATCTTGGAAAGCACGGACAGCATTGTTGTTACATCCAATTCGGATAAGAGTCTGAGAAATCTCCTCGCGAGTCGCCAGCTGAAGGAAAGCCAAGTTCTCTGGATCATCTTCAGGAAATCGAAGGCGTCGCTGATCCAAAAGCACGCTGTAAATAGTCGACACATAGCCAAAACAAAGCTCCTTGACCTGGTCAACGGGAATCACTCGATTTGCTTCGAAGCGACTCCTCCCGTAGATACTGAAGGTAAACATTAAACCGAGATCAGTGACCTTTTCGCCAATGACCATAAAACCATTGCCTTCGGCACGATAACGCTCACGCTTGCGGTCGAATTCTTTCCAGTAGATACCCAGAGCCGCCAACATCTCGATGAGATGGCACATCGTCGTCGTTGCGTAGGGGCGTAGGACAGTCGCGGGCATTGTATCCCAGCTTTTACGTTTCCGTTGAAGAGCTACTGTCATAGTATGTGCATCGTATAAGCTAGGAGGGTTGGTAGGAAGATCGTGGTGCTGTGTCTGCGCATTGGGAGGCCCAACTTGTTTATGCATGCCCTCGTATTGGCTCTTCTGCCACTTCTCCGACTCGTGCTCCATACGCTGTACGGCGCTGAGAAGTAATGTCCATGAAGCTCGCTCGTTATCAGCAGTATGGATACGCTCTCGTTTCGTCTTGTTGGCATATTCCTCTCTTGGGTTGATGTCCAGCTCAGACCACGTGTTTTCGAGACTCTTGGGACTTCCATCTAGAAAGTATATCTCTGCTCCGCGAATTGGGCCATGTTGGTTGTCTGGGGGCGAGACGAAAATCACAGGAGCTTCAAACTCGACCTCGAAACGGAGCTCGTCCCAAGAGAAGCGACGGGTTTTGGTGAGTGCCCATTTTCCCATGACTTTCTCATTGCATTGAGCGTATCCTGCGGCAGAGGCGTAGTATTGTTGCATGACCTGCATGAAGGTAGCTGCCAGAGCAACCAAAGACACGAGGAGAGCCACGATGGCCACCACGACTTCGGGGTCGGCTTCAGCCATGGTATTGAGGTTGCGATATTCTCTCGGCCTGTTCGTTCGTTCGTCTCGGTCTAGGATGGCTGGTACCACGTAAGAGAACGGCTAGTCGGAGTTGTAGAGCGCTGGACAATGCAGCAATCAACTATGGGCCGCGCGGGCTCGGAGGCTGAGTTTGACAGAGGTCAACACGACATGAAGTGATCGTCACGCACGGCCATGAACCAATTCCGGCGTATTTAGTCGTTCAAGGCGTCGTCATCGTTACAAAGTGGAAAAAGACTGAAGAAGTGTTGAAAGGAGAACAAACTGGACAAACCCACAGGCGCAGAGCCTGGTTTGAACTTCGCAGTCGCGCAGCTTTCTTAACAAGGACAGGGGATGCCACCCAGGGCTATAGAGTCCAGGGTTCAATTGGGTCAAGTGCTTATTGAGTGGATGCACTGGAAACATTGGGGGCTGTGGCCGCATCGAGGGTCGTTGCAGGCCTCAACTCAGGAGGTCAAGTAATCTTGAAGAAAAGGGTTTGGGTAGCGGGTTTAACATGGAATATCACCACGGATTTATGCATATTTCCTGCGTTTAAAAGTGAAACCTTGAGAAGGGAAGCTCTGATTGGAATTTTACCTTACCAGGTTATGAGTCTAAGATTGAGTTGGGTTGCGGCCCGTCATGACGTTGCGGCTGATAGCCCTAAACTTTAGCGGATTTCGCCCTGAATGGTTGGTTGATTGCGGGGAGCGGGCGCTAAAGTCATCCCGTCCCGGCTCGCATCAACATCTCAGCCTCAATCGGCTGGATTATTGGATGACAATGGGAAGCTGAACGCTTAATGATGACCGATTGATCATGGACTCCAAAAACAATCTTAATGTCATACTTATCTGTTGCGATGGTGCTGATTCTAGCGGATTTAAGTGGAATCCATAAGTACAAATGGTTGTTGGATAACCCCCCCCAAAATTTAAGAGTAAAAGAAGCCCATCCAAATGCTCGCCACGGGACGACAATAGAACTGAAGATATACAGAACGTGTAATATTGTAGCCGACTGTCTATTTTAACACACCTAACTCTACCCCGAGGCAGGTCTCGCAAGCCTGGAAAACCTCCGTCAACAAATATGTATCATGTCGAATTGGAGCCACCCTACAGCTTCTCCTTACGTCCCCAGTTCCTCTCCCCATCCAGTATCAGCGCAACATGATTACTCAATGCCACAACATCGTCCTCCCTATCGAAAACAATAACCTCAGCATCATACCTCCCATCCTTGATAACCTTTGCACTGATCCGTATCCTCAACCACTCCTCACCCTCTTCTGGCAACGCTTTCTTGACATCCAAGCTCATCGAAACCGTGGGCATCCAAAAGATCTTGTCAAATGCAAATCTGTCTTCAGGAACTGGTGCATCCAAGTCTGTTGGTCGGTAGCCCTCGATTATGAGTGCGGGCGCGACGTCAGCGATGTAGCCGAGTGCCCATGTTGTCCAGCGTTCGTTGTTGGACATGCGGAGCCAGAGATCCCATGTTGCTGGTGGTGTTTGTTCGTATTTGGGGGAGTAGAACTCGACGTGTTGCATCATGGGTGCTACATCCATCACAACCATGTGTAAACGCTCCCAATTGGGGTCTTCATCTGTTACGAGCTTGGTCAAGTCGACCGAAGGAGGCGGCGCAGAGAGTTCAAAGCCAGTTGGCAGACTGAGGCCTTGTTCACCATTGAGCAAAGTATTCGTGACATATGCCGCGACCTTCTTTTTAGACTTATTAGATATCCAAGGGCTCTCGGACAAGAGACCTTCTTGATACAGCGTAATATGGAGGGTTGACAACGCCCGGCCTCTTCGAACCTCCTCCACTACAAGCACAGCTGGACCGATATGCGTGGCACTAAGGAAATGCCAATGAGCAGCGAATGTATCAGGTTGCTCGTAGGGTGCAAGATAGATACTCGCCGCGCGCAAGAACGTGGCCGAGATATAGCCTCCATGGGGGACTGTGCTGGTTAGCAATGAGGTGAGCTATTGGACAAGCGCTTACCAGTTCCAACAGCAAATGCTTGATCGAGGTTGACCGTGAATGTAGTCATCTCTTGTTGCGTGACTCGTGAGTTCACTCCTAGGGACGGATAGCCTGACATGTTGTTCTCAATTGTTCTTCGTTTTGTAATGCACCGTGATTGATGGAGGGCTTTTGCTCATGTTCTGAGCCCTGATATGAGCATATGAGCCGAGGATGTAATGGCGACAGGGGTACTGTAAGCAACCAATTGTTGGTTCATGCCAGCCCTCGCAAATCTGTTTCAGGCAGCTGCTTCAATCGCATAACATGCAAGATGTAACATGAGCCGCTGGTCTGGACAAATCATACTGTATCGCCAAATCATACATCTTACAGAAGTCTCCTGGCATGTACTGTCGATATTCATAATCTTCGTCAAGAATCACAGCTATGCTTATGAAGGTCTAGAAACTGTGATGGATCAAAACACAAGACTTAAGTTTGAGTTCATGATTAAATTCACCTCATGCTGCCTTAGATGATGCTAAATCCAATCTCTTCACAATTTAATACATGATATCATGATAACTCGAGTTTTAACTACGATCTTGCAAAGTTCTAATCTATACTGAGGATAGAATTACATATTCTGGCAGTAAACTTCTGTTTGTCAGAGCTTATACACCGGACTCATCGGTAGGCGTATCTTAGACACGGGGCTTCCGCAAAAAACGCACTGGGGATTGCGTCCCCCACTCTCCCCGTACAGTTCGTTGGCACAGTCGGTGCACATCACAGTAACGCATGTTGTATCTGTGCATACAGATTGTAGACTCGAATTTTCCTCCAAACAATGTGCACAGTTCTTGATTTCTTGAGGTAAGATGATGTCCCGGAGCTTCATTTTCAACTCGGTCTGGTTGTGAATAAACTTGCCGTCCAGTTCCAAAGGGGAATTGCTATCAGGCATGACTTCAACCTTGCTGGAGAAATGAGCCAAATCACAGTCCCTTGTTATATGGAATAAAGACTCCCCTTGTAGGGGGGTTTTGATGACATTGTCATCGTTTCTGAGGAAGCATGATATGTTGTGCTTGACCAGGTCACCGACAGTCGTTTCGCGGCTCTTGATAGTAGATACACCCAACACACTGGCACAGCATTGGAAATTGCTCGGATCAACATCTTTGAGGTCAATTTCCTTGGGCCAGATAATTCGGCTGAGGCACTCGGAACATTGCACGGTTGGCGCCGCGCTTCCGCTTTCGCAGTAGAAGCACTCGGGAGGATTCTCTTTGTCATCGTCGTCAACGACGTACTGAGCTTGACAAGAACCGCATTCAGTCCAAAGCACAGGTGTGCTATCGTCATGATCCTCAGGTGCGTCGATGGGATTGCGGCCAGCGGAACAATAGCGGCATATACGGTACGAAGTCATCACTGTGACTGAACGGCGACGATTGCATCTCTGACATATATCCGCGTGAATTACCGCTGCCTCTGTATTGCTTGGACGCCAACCAGTCTTCACAGACAGCTTAACCGTGTGACTCTTCTCAAGCTTCTGGTAATCCACCAGCGTCTGGAAGAGTTTACGGTCTTCACCTCTGAGAATGCTCTCTTGATCGGGTTGAAGCGAACGCCTTTTTTCTAAGACCCGGTCTGCTTCGAGTAAGAGAGACAAATACTCAAATCTCCACGTTTCGGGATTCTCGGTCGTGATCCACTTGTACCGAAATGCCATGAGCTGATGGAGAGCTGCATCCATTAATGGGATTATCCCCCGGCTTGTGGCAAATGCAGCAAGGAGAGAAGCTGGACGATCTGTAAGCTGCGTTCCAGGAACGACAGCATGGAGCAAGTAATTCTAGAATTTGCCCCCGTACTCAGGCATTATTAGCGCAAGAGGGATCCGAGGAGTCAGGCAAGGCCAAGAGTTTGTCATACTGGTAGGCATATCCTTCTCCTGTTGAACGTAATGCATCCGGATCAGAACATTTCCCAGGCGTCCCAGAATATCCATGTCGCACGACTTCCAGATGTTGAGTAGCTGTGCACGAGTAAGGGCTGCATCGTACTGATTTCCCTGTAAATCGATCGTGTCTGGATCTACACATACAAGTGGGAATTGGCGATTTGCAGGAAGAGATGAGATCTCCTCATTGATCTCATGGAAAAAGGTATACGACTCTTCCAACCAAGTCTGTGCTTGCTTCTTGTCTCTTGCATTGGGTATTTGACTAACCTGGGCTCTAAACTTTCCCAAGAGGCTTCTCTTTATGTTGTTGTTGCCAGTTTGGTCGCTACAGACAGCGCGCCAAAGTTGCCCGTAAAAGGGATGGATAGCGATGACTGATACATTGGTGCTGATAATTCGATCAAGCTGTTCCACAATGACGTTTTTGTAGTCTTCATCGCCATCAATATACTTCCTGGCCAAGTTTCTGCTTGTGTATATGCTGAATTGCCCGTTGTCGGTGTTGACACTGTCATATCGGACACGGAGGCAGCTGCGTGGCCCAGCAAGAGTATTGGTTTTCTCGAGGTTGTCAGAGTATCTGCCGCAGGATCTCTCAATATCGGCTTCGGACACTGTATGGGTGGTTAGGTCTCGTTTGAAAGCTACTTTGGAGGATTCTGGTATGTCGATATTTCCATCAGCCCGCATCCAAACGAGGAGCAGGCCTATAGTGAGTCGAGAGATGACTCTGCCACTGTATATCGTAAGATAGAAACTGCCCCCTGTCATGGTAGATAGATAGAGATATGGACTCCAATTACTGATGTTGAAATTGGATCCGAAAGAAAGTACCACAGCTCTCTTGGTATGAAAACTATTGCCCGTGAGAATATGGGCGCCAGTAACCCAATCCCTGAAAAATTGACCTGTTACCTCATACTCCAACAGGAGTTGAAGCTGCTCGAACTTGTAATATCCCGAACTGGTCTCGCTTCGCCCACTGGTATGCTCGAACATGGGAGGAGCATGGGTATAAAGAAGGAGGATAGTCGCGTTCTGACCCGCTCTCATCCTCTGATACGCTTTGGCAAGAGCCGCTTTTGAAGCAGGATTTGACTTGTACTCGGAGTCATCAAGCGTCTAGCTTTAACGAAGTTTAGAATGTCGTCTTGACTTGGAGTGCCGGTGGTGCTAAAAGGAGAGCACCATCCTGACCACTGTATCACGTTATCAGAAGTATAATTACGATAGGCTAGGACTCCAACGCGCTCAAAGCAGTCAGCAAGAGCCACGAAGTTGATGATATCGGGAATGGCTTCTTTCAACGCCGTAACACCGACGCTCCCACCTGTTATGGCATCGAAAACGATCATCAGATCATGGACTCGAGATGGAGTGCTCATGATGGCAGTTACTTATGGGAATAATGTGATGGATGATTGGAAATCGCCTGCAGAAGCTGTGTGATGTTACTTATGACTAGAGGTAGCTCAAAGATAATGGGTGATGTGTAGTTGTTATTGTTGAATGATGAGCTGTTGTGTTGCGTAAGGTGTAGAAGGAGAGGCACCATCAATGTTTTGAGGGCAGCTAGTCGTTATCGAATCGCCCCTTTCCCCGACAAGTACGCCTGCAAGCTCAGATATCGGGCGTGCATAGCTTTTAATGTGTTGCAAAGGCATGGACGCTGGCAAGGCAGGCGGTTAGTTCTTATCTGGAAGGGGCATGACTATAGACCCAGTTAAGGTAAGCCAGAGTGCTATGATACAGGACTCTGGTCGCATTGTTCTCTCTGCATTAGAGCATGGGATTATATTGCGATATATTCTTATACCATGTAATGTGAAAGTCATAACACCCAGTGCGTGCGCAGAATGCGTCGCGCCTCATACTCCAAATGGCATGATGAGGTTTCATTACCGCATCGCAACACCTACAATTCAATGCTGTGAACACCATATTCAACCAATACCAAGAATACTTCTCGCAATTGATGCTGCCTGTTGTCTGTTTTCCGCTTTCGGTGACTTGGGTGATGGTGGCTTCAGCAAGCTTATGCCTGTAAGATGCTTACCTAAGGCATGACGCGGTCCCCTGAACAAGCGAGGGAACGTGATGTCCATGTTTCAAAGGAGGCAGCCTGAGCTCGTCCATCTTTCTCCCTCTTCTTCTATTCATCAATTACATCAAATCACCATCTCAGCCAATAACCGTCAACAACAATGTCTCGATTCTCTCGCTACGACACCGACGAGGAGCGTCTCCCTGAGGGCATGCAGAGAGTAGGCTACGATGCTGACACTCAGGTCTACACGTTCCGCGACGCCGACGGCAGCTACTGGGAGAGCGCGCCAGGCAATGAATACGGCCAGCTCACAAAGGTCGGCGAAGCTCGTCCTGAAGGTCAAGAGACCGAGACCTTCCTCATGACAAGCCAGCAGCAACGCCCTAAGATGTCGTGGTTCACTGAGATGAAGCCTTTTCTCAACTTTCTCATGCTCGTCATCCTATCGCTCGTCCTGCTCTTCTGGTTCCTCGGCTACAAGGGTTCTTCGGCGGACGAGCGTATTCCCATCGCTGACTGTCCGGAGGGCACGGTGGCGTATGCGATTCACAAGGGCGATACATGCTGGGATATTGCGAACAAGAACGGAGTTGGCGTTGATGACTTGAAGAACAAGAATCCGGACCTCGATTGTGAGGCTCTCAAGATTAACGATCGCATATGTGTGCCTGGCAAGAAGAGCGTCGATTGAGCACGTCGTACCATGCGTTGTGGACGGGAGTACAGAGTATCACTGGGTAACTGTTGTAGCCGTCAGGTACGGCAAATGATGCGACTTGTCTAACATTTGAGCTGCGTCAAGTTGAGTCGGAGTGAGCTATGAAGCTGTCTGAACAGAGTTGGTGACGTACAGACTATAGTCTGGGTTAGTGGTGCAGTGGCATCTTCTCTGACGCGTACTGGACATTGCTTGGTGGCAGTTCATAGCAGTGTTATGGCAGTAATATTTCATGCCTGACAGACCGTCAACAAATTCTTGGATGAAGCTGTATCTGATCGCTTGGTGATAAGCATCCGAAACCCAAACTTCTGGGAGCGTATCAATCAGCCTAACGCGTGTCAAGCAGCTAACCAACGTCATCACGGGCCTATCAGCCAACAATCATTGGCCATGGTTCATGGCTGCCATGCACCTGAGCTAGTGCAGCATCTCGGCCGGTGCCAGCAAACTCGAGGGCTTGTCTTGGCTGTCAAGGTTGCATTTATCCGACATCTTCAGCGATGCCTGGAGTAATCAGGCTTCAACAATAACCATCCTATCCCGCCAGAGACGAGTCTAGACAAGGCCGACGAAACAAAAGACAACAACACATCACTCCCACCCACCAAAGGCGGTCAAGATCAAGCATTAACTACATACAACTTCATTCGGCGTCTTCTTAACCCGTCAGGGAAATCATTACCACAAAAAGCCCCGCGCTAAAAGTGGAAGAAACGAGGGGCAACACCAGACCCTGGCTTGCCTGGGCCACCACTGCCAACCAGCGCGTGCACCAGCAAGAGCGGGGCGGCTTGGGAATTTTTTTCTCTTCCATGCTAATTTCGACTCGACTCGAAAGGACCCCAAATAATTTAAAATTTTCGGCGCGGGTCTCGCGACTCTTTTCTTTCCTTCTCTTAACTACTATAAACCTTCGGGTTCTTTTCCTTTTTCCTTCTCTCTTTCTTTTTTTCTTTCTCTGTCGTTCAAGCTTCGACAAAGAAATCATCATGGATAAGGGGAAGCTTGCTCAGCTCCTTGAAGGGAGCCAAGTCCGTAAGTTCTCTCATCTACGTCAACGATAAATAGCCGGCAAGCTCTGCTTTCCCTTGCTGCTACTCGTTGCCTCGCTACACAACCTTCGATACTAACATTTTCTCTCTCTAGCCAACACAGAGCAGGTCAAGGCCGTTACCGCCGAGCTCCAGAAGAACTTCTACACACAACCCGAGTCGCTGCTCGCCCTCGTCGAGATCTCCCTCACACATGGAGACGCCGGTGTTCGACAGCTCGCCTCGGTCCAGGCTCTTCGTCTGATCCCCAAGTTCTGGGAGAAGACCGCCCAGGACCAGCGACAGCTCGCCCGAAACCACCTTCTTGAGGGTGTCCTCAAGGAGTCCTCCGCTGGTGTCCGCCACTCCCTCGCCCGTCTTATCGCCGGCATTGTCAGCGCTGATATGGAGAATGGTGAGGGTGAGGAGTTCCTCAAGCACCTCCTTCCTCTCACCAACAACGACAATGTTGTTGCCCGTGAGGTTGGTTCATTCCTCCTCTACGCCATCCTCGAGGAGGACCCTACCCACTTCGCCGACCACACACATGAGCTTCTCAAGCTCTTCCAGGCCCGCATTGAGGACCCCCAGAGCAAGGAGGTCCGCATCAACATCGTCCGTGCTATTGGTGCCATCCTCATGATCGTTGAGCCTGAGGAGGACCCCGAGTCCCTCAAGGCAATGCAGAACTTTGTTCCCAGCCTGGTCAACATTCTCAAGGCTACCGTCGAGGCTGAGGATGAGGAGAGCTACAAGATCGTTTTCGAGGTCTTCCACTCTTTCATTGCTTACGACTCTTCCCTCCTTGCCCTTCACCTCCGTGACCTCCTTACCTTCATGATTGAGCTTGGTGGCAACGTCAACGCTGAGGAAGACGCCCGATCTCAGGCTCTTGCTTTCCTCATCCAGTGTGTCCGCTACCGACGCATGAAGATTCAGGGCATGAAGGACATGGCCGCTGAGCTCATGGTCAAGGCCATGCACATTGTTACCGAGCTCGACGCCGATGACGACGAGGAGGACATGTCTCCTGCCCGTACCGCCATCAGCCTCATCGACACCTTGTCCAACGAGCTCCCTCCCCGACAGGCTATTGTTCCTCTCCTCGAGCAATTCCCCCACTTCGCTACCAACAACGATCCTAAGTTCCGTATGGCGGCTATGCTCGCTCTCGGTAACGCTGCTGAGGGTGCTCCTGACTTCATCTCTACTCAACTCCAGCCTCTTCTCCCTACCATCATCTCTCTTCTGGAGGACTCCGAGACTCAGGTCCGACATGCCTCTCTTGTTGGTTTGATCCACCTTGCTGAGGAGATGGCCGACGAGATGTCTTCTCACCACGAGCAGATCATTGCTTCCGTCCTCAAGAACCTCGAGGCTGCCTCTCAGGGCGTCTCCGACAAGAAGAACGTCAGCATCATCCGCTGCGCCTGCGGTGCCCTCGATACCTTTGGTGACGGCATTGACACCAAGATCATGGCCCAGTATGGTCCCAATTTGATTGGCCCCATGGTCCGTCTCCTCGACCACGAGGACTTTGGCGTCAAGGCTGCTGCTGCTTCTGCTATTGGTGCCATCGCTTCTTCCATGGAGAAGGGCTTCGAGCCTTACTTCAAGGATGTCATGTCTTCTCTTGGCAAGTTCGTCTCTATCAAGGAGGGTGAGGAGTCTCTCGACCTCCGAAGCTCCACCTGCGACAGCTTGGGCCGCATCGCCATGGCCGTCGGCTCTGAGTCTTTCCAGCCCTATGTCATGGACCTCATGTCCGCTAGCGAGGAGGCTCTCGGCCTTGACAACCCCCGCCTCAAGGAGACCAGTTTCATCCTGTGGTCCAACTTGTCCAAGGTCTACCACGAGCAGTTCGACCACTTCCTTCCCGGTGTCTTCAAGGGTCTTTTCTCTTCTCTCGAGCTCGAGGAGGAGGAGATCGAGCTTCCCGGTGTTGACGCTAGCCAGCTTGGTGACGGTGCCATTGTCGTTGGTGGCAAGCGTGTCAAGGTCAAGGCTCCCGAGACTCAGGACGATATCACCATCGCCACTGGCGGTGACGAGGACTGGGATGATATCGAGGACCTCGAAGATCTCGGTGCTGTGACTGCTGTCGCTCTTGAGCAGGAGATTGCTCTCGACGTCCTCGGTGATGTCATCTCCAACTCTTGCAACAGCTCCAATCTCGAGACCTACGTCGAGCAGACCATCGAGAAGGTTTCTCCCTTCACCGAGCACACATACGAGGGATGCCGAAAGACCGCCA